GATTAAATGAATTATTTTGTAGCCTCAGACACATTAAATATAACTCAAATAATATTTTAAAGTGAGTTAACATTAGGTTTTATCACAACATAGTGTTTCGCTCTGTTAATGGTTGACACTAGTTAAATAATCAGAATAATAATTTAAAAAATAGCTTAATGATAGTAAGATTATTTATTCGGCCATGGTCACAATGGGTACACTGACTTTACTACCTATGATATGTCTATCATATACCATTATTATGTTAATTATTTTGATTAGATTTGTTGATAAATAATATCATTCACATTGTCATATTATGCTAGCTGAACCAATAACACCAACACATTCTTCAAAACAATGTACTGATATTCTAGCAGACAAATAGTGCATTAAATATAACTCTAGAAGCTTCAATACTCTATAAATTATATTTAACAGTAGTTAGATATAACTCTAAGGTAGAAATTTATCATGGTAGCAAAAAAATTGTACCCACGCTATTCTTTTTATGAATAAGAGACTGGTATTTATGATAGTAGCAGGGAAAAGACCTTCTCCATAGCTTATTTTTAATAAATTAATTTTAATAAATAAATTGCATAATTTCAATGCACTTTGATGATGAAAATATTTGTTAATATTATTGTTGCTATTTATATGAATTAAAAATTTTTTTTTTGTTTGATATACAGTAAATTTAACATGAATTTCATCATAATTCTTGTTATGATGTTGATGAGTGATAATATAATATGAGCATAAATTAAGGAACTTTATTGTTAGTCAGTCACAGATAATTTATTATTAATTTCAATTATTCTGTTATCCAATAATACATTTATCTTCAACCATTTGTGTTTTGAATCAAAGCAACATTGCAGTAGAGTAAATACAAGTCTTAAATGTCATAGGTTTATCAAGAAACTATACTAGCTTTCTGATCTCAATTTCAAATGATATTAAATTCTCTATTTAAAAATTGAAAGTTAAGTAAAATTAGAACGACTGTGTTACGTTTTATTAAATGCTTTATTCATAAAATAAGTGGTCAAATGAAATAAAGGTGGAACTTAATATTATTCAAGTATATTCACTTCTGCTTCACGCCTGACGAGCACGGGTGTATTATCTCCACTTGTTATCAGAATAGAAATGCCTTGGAATAACGAATTGTACTCTAGTTTCAAGTTTTACTTCATTTAGTGAGTAATAGGGGATTAGTAATACGTGTGATCAACTTTTATTGAGTCTTAGATTTTGCAATTATTTTATTTATTTTTTTTATAATTTTTAATGTTGATTAATATTTTGTTATGATTATTTTTATTGTTAAGAACTGATGAGAATACTTTTAGCATAATAATTTCATTAAAATAAAGCATCACTAAATAATGATGATGAGAATATTTCTAAGTAGGTTGAAGATTGTTGAAACAATTATTGAACTTGAATTTATATTTTTTTATTATTAATTAAATATTTCAGTATTAAAAGTAGGATTTTGAATAATTTAAAAGACTTTAGTTTGATATAATTATTTATTGTTCATCCATTTTACTGAGAAAGTTGATTAAGGAAATAGTTAATTAGACTTTATGAAAATTTTTTTTAGATCATTGTATTAACATTTTTATTAACTTTTTCCGGTGTTTTAAAGATAAAATATTTTTAAGAAAGTTTTAAAATTGAAAATTTCTATTTAAGATTAATTAAAAAACGGAAAATCTTTTTTTCAATGATAAAATTTATTACTCCAACTCTTAGTGAAAATATCTCAAGTTAACATTCTAAAATACTAGTATTGAAACAAAAAAAATTAAAATTAATTTCAATATATCAAGTATTCATCGGAATATTTGTACCCAATTACACAGCATAAATTGTCTACAACTACACACCAAGTCCATTTAAAGAAAGTATAAATATGTACATGTAAACATACCAAGAGTCTAAGATTTCAATTCTTGCATGTGCAATGAAAACATTAATGTAGATAATGATGATGATGAAAAAAGAAAAAAGTTTTCTTACACCTGAATAGCAGGTGGGAAACTTTTTTTTTTTCTTAAATATTGTAGGACACACCTTGCAGAAAATATCAATAGAACATAAAAGGCAAAAGGCGCGACGAAGATTCTAGAGTAGGCGAATATGTGGGTTGTTCATTGGCCCAGAATTGACGCACCTTGATGAGAATAACAAAAGATAAAAATCCATCATTCATTTATTGTATTGATACGAATCTATCATCTTAAATCTTTCAATGACTTATTACAGAAATATCAAAAGGACAGGATAATATGTAAGACACCATTACATAATCTACAAAATAAAAATCATCATAAAGCTAACAAGTTATTCAAGTGTTGGAATTCAAATATTGACAATTGTTCCTACATTATATGTTTAAATGTAGTTTCCGTGTTTTCTATCAGCTACTGAGCGTGCGAAATCGGTCGAGAACGACTGCAAAAGGGAAGATAGTGAATAGTTTAATCTTGACTGAGGTTGAAGGTTGCGTGAGAAACGATAGAAATAGTAAGCTAGGTCGAGGAGAGTCCAAAGAAGAAGCTTTAAATATTGTGGGTAAATAAGATAGTCTAGTCGTTTTGTTAATACAGTTGATAGTAGAAGAGCTGAGAGTGTATTCAAGAGATCAAGTGAACTCAAGTGAAAGTTGTTAAACTGTTCTGATGAGATTAAAGATATAGCTTTATCTTTATCTTAATTATCATCATCAACAGCATCATGGTTGTGTCACATAGAGAGACTAATATTTCAACTAATATTCGTGCTATAATTGAGCAATTGAATTTAAATCCAGTTGAACGACGTCGTTTAATTGATAGAAATCGTGAAAATGTGAGAATAAGACCAGTTAGTTTGCCAGCTAAAATTACTATTGGCGTTTATGGTTGTAATAATAATGACCAAGATTCGAAAAAAATTGAAACTAATGTTACTCCTAAGATTGATATTTATCCAGAAGATAAAAAAGTTGAAGGTATTGAGAAGCATGATACGAATATCAATGTTGTTGATAATAATACTGGTTATAAAAGCCGGATCCAAGATGACTTTTTAACACCAAAAGCTGGTAAAATAATCATTGGTGTTTGGGGAAGTAATGATGGTAGAAAATTGGAGACTAAGATTGAACGTACCACCTCGTGTGTTGGAAAAATAGATATTGAAAGGATTATAGATGAGGAAAGGAAACCATTCCTTGTATCTAGGTCACGAAAGTCTGAATTGAGGCAGAGGATACCAGAAGAGCAGAAGGATCGAGTTGAGGTAATAAAAACCATCATTGATTGCTTTTTAATATATTTGATCTTATTGAAATTGGTTTCCAACATACGAAGATTTATTTACAACCGGTTCTTATTGAGATCATGGTTAAATATTGACTGAACCTAGACATGATACAGGTTTGCCCTGTTTAGCCCACGTCTTGTCTAATATATATCATTAAGCATGAAGAGTAATAGTTATTAAGGTCTTTAGCTGACTGATTTTGTGAATTATAAGAGAAAATTAAATGCTCACTTTAAGGCTGGGCTTTAAAAGTTTTTCAATTGTTTCAATGCTTTCAAGCTCCCCACCACTAATTTCTTATCCCCTCTACCACGTTTTACTGCGCAAGCGTACAAAAGCACATCGGAAACTCTGCTCAGTCCGGCTATAACCTCAAATGTCCGACTATAACCTCAAATTTTTCTTGTCAAACTGTGCAATTTTTATTAGTTTTTTTCATGTGAATAATATTTACAAATATTCAGAAAAGTGGTATATACATCAGAAAACAAAGATTGATAGTGTAAGTGCGATTATTATTGTAGAATAAGTAATTATTCAGTGAATTCCGTAGTGTCATGGCGGGTGCACTTATCGTGAGTCCTTCCCTGAAAAATTATTTATTCTACGATGATTATTGCACTAAACCCATCAATCCTTATTTTCCGATGTGTATAACACTATTCTGAATATTCATAAATATTTTTTACATGAAAAAAACCAATAAAAATTGCACAGTTTGAGGAGCAAAAATTTTGAGGTTATTTGAGGTTAGTTGAGCATGCAATCATAACTCTTTCTTTCAATTACTTTTCTTAGTTATTATTATTTATATGTTCTACTTTTGGTGTCGGATATTACGAAAATAATTATATTATATCCATTTAGCGGTAACTAATTTTTTAGAGTGGTAATAAATATTAAGAATTAACAATAATCTAATTTGTATAAATTGAAATGACAACTTTAAAGAGAATTAATCATCAATTGAATTATTAATGAGAAATAAAAAATTAATATTTCATAATAAAAATAAAATTAAAATATTTTAATTATTTTCATGTTAATATAATTATTGAGTGTTATAAACCTAATTTTCATTTCTCTAGGAATTTGCTTTACTACTATAAAATATGAAAGAAAATAATAAAATTAAAAAAAAAATATAAGAAAAAAATTTTCTCTTTTTAAATAATGATGTTAAATATTAAGCATAATATGAATCATGTAATTAACAAAAAGACTTTGACTCTAAGTTTCATAATAACAGTCTAATTAATTACAACTTTATCAACATGTAATTAAAATAAGAGAAATATCAAAACCTGGCAGCTGATTTATGTATTTGTAATAAAACTGCAACATTATAAGATATCGTATTTTAGATAATACAACCGGATATTATCAGCAAAATGTATAATTAAAAATAAATAAGACAAGGAAATGATAGAAGCAATGAACGAATTTGGCTTAAACTGTAATACTCAACAAGACGAATGCGAAATAGAAGGGAAAAAAAGAAACTCACGAGCACTCGAGCGCTCAAACAAGTCTAAGCTCTGATGTAACTTAGTATGGAGAAACTAACGAAACGATGTTCATCTTTCCGTGTTTAATAAAATTAATAAACAACCACATTGCCATTATTTTTATTTCTGTAGATTATTGAAATCATCAGGTGAATCTAATGGGTAATTATTTTTATTTCCTTTTTTCAGGTAACACGGACATTACAACAGGATGAAAATGAGAGGATTAATAAAGTGCCAAAAGAGGAATTACGTATGTATAAGATTTCTTATCAATTATTATCAAACATTCATCATCACTATCGACTAAAGAATAAATTTAATTTTCTTTCAAGTCTGACAAGTAATTTTTTTTAATCTAATTCTTTATTATTAAAAAAAATAAAGAGGAAATTTATTAAGTTCATTTATTATTAATTAATCGAATTAAAAAAATGTTTTAGAAGCTTTTATAATTTTTATATGATAATTTTTATAAGATAAGAGCACCTTTTCATTTCTAAGTGGTGTTAAATATCTTGGAGAGACATCTCAAGTTCTAGAGAGAAGGTATTAACCCCTTCAACATAGCTGACTCATTCATAAACGTCATTCTGAGGGTGACTAAAACACGTTTTTTTTTTTTGAGTATTACTCATTTTTAGATTATTGTCTAATAGATCTTCAATGAAGCTTAAACAAATTTCACAGTTAAATAGATATTTTCTTAATTATTTAACTTCAAACACAAAGTTTGTTTTACTTTCAAGTAAATAATAATTTCATACATTTTTTATTTATAGCGGAGTTGGAGATAGCTAGTTTAAATCATACTGCTGCTCATCACCGTATATCGGTTCGACCGAAAAACCGACGACCACCACGACGTACAGCAACGAACACCAGTATGTCTTGTTCAACGATCACAACGATATCAGAAGGTTCTGACGTTTTGGATAGTCTAGAGCCAATATCAACAAGCAACGAAAGTACACCAATCGATACAAAGAGTATTTCAATACTCCGGAAATCTTCCAGCCGGTTATCAAGAAACTCTGATATTTTTGAAGAACTTGAAGCAAAATTGCCAAAGAAACCTTCAAGTTTAGCTTCTTTGTCACCAGATAGTTTAGACATAGGGTCAACAAGAGGAACATTAGATCATACAGATACAGATGATAGTCGTGAATCTAAATCAATCACAAGAAAGTCTTCAAATCGTATTCCAAAGCCATCAAATCTTTATGATGAACTTGAGCTCAAAATTCCGAAGAAAAGATCATCAACCAGTAGACTATCAAAGTCACCAGACAGCCTGGATAATTCATTTTCAAAATCAACAGAAGGATTCGATAAATTGATTGAAGACGAGAAAGTACCAACATTTGGAAGGTTGCAAAATTTGATGTCTAAATCTAGTGATGGCTTTGATAAATTATCAGAGCAGATGGAAGTGAAACCAATGCCTAGAAGGTTTTCTAATGTTATATCCAAGTCAACTGATGCTTTCGACACCTTGACAGAACGAGACGAGCCACGTCCGGTTGCTAGAAGACTTCTACATCCAGTTTCCAAGTTTCCAAATGTTTCAAAATCATCTGATAGTCTAGAAGCAATACAAACCCTCGAGAGCGATGATTCGATAGAGCGCAGGCGCAGTAGTTTCGAAATTCGCCCAAGAAGAAGTCTGAAAGTAATGTCTATGTCATCAGAAAATTTCGAAGCCTTAGAGAAACCTCTAGAGTTGCATAAATTGAGCAGTGCATCTGACGTTCACCTTTCGCGTATGAAACACCAGTCGAAGATGAATAATAATATTATTTCTAAGTCTTCTGAAAATTTCGAAAGCATGGCAAACAGTATTCAAGCCGCAGAGACTCATAGATCAAATGATTTTACTAAACCTAGTTGGAAAAGTTATAAAAGAACTGTTTCTTCAGAAAGTTCAGACAATCTGGAGCTTGATGACAAAATTGAAAATCGTAGAGTTCGTAAACCACCAAAGAGAGTACCAAGTTCAAGTATTGTTGATGTATTTCAACGTGATAGTTATCACGAGGATGAAAGGAGACCAGTGTTGATGAGGAAACCACCACGTTTACAGAAATCTTCTGAAAGCTCAGAACTTGGTAGTACTGACACTATTGACTCGGAGAAACGAAATAAGTCTTCCGACAGCACCGAAACTCTTGATAGTCTTGAGAAAGACCTAGAGCAAGACACCAGGGATGAAGATATGTCAAGTAGCTTTGGTGAAAGACACGATAAACATGTAAGTTATATAAATGTTTATCTAAACGAGTTTTCTCTATTTTTCCTAACAAAATAGTTATAAACTAATAATACCGTTTATTCTTAATATATATAAATCTTAAAACTTATATAATAAGGATATTACATGGTTTTACTTAGACCACTTTCCTGCTGTTTATCTTTAAAATAAATTGCTCTAGAAAGGCTTTATCATCTAAGTAGGAAAAATTGCTTCATACATAGATTTCAATAGTAACATTCCACATTTTTTATGGTGAAAATAATTTTGTTATTACATAAATAATGTCATGGAATTATATAATAACAATATACAATTCATAAATCTCAAAATCATTCAGATAAATGATAATCAAAGACAATTGTTATCAAAGTCAGGAGGTAGTAATTTATATAAGAATATAATATATATTATTAATATCGATTTATGTTACATTGAATGAAGAATTATTATTCGCAATAATACCTTTTACTGCCTAATATTATGTTCCATAGATTTGTAGGTTTCTTATGTATAATAAAGTTTCGAAAGGAAGACTATCGGTTAGGTAATAATTTGATCATGGGTATTGATTTTGACAAATCAGTTTTAGACAGATACAAGTTTGATAAACCTGCATAATTAATTTGATTTATATGACTAATTATTATAAGTAAAAATTATAATAAAAATTTTATTGAATCATAGTTGACCTTTCACACTTGAAAAAATTAATTTATTGATAAAATTGAACTTGTCTTTTTGATTGAGATTTAGAAAGTTATCAAAATAAAATATATATAATCGAGTTGGTTTAATTAAAATTCATTACACGAAAAAATCAGTACTTCATTTTTTAATATTCAAACAACGTAATGACAAAAGAAGTCGATTTCAAATTTTTTAGCACTGTTTTGTACGTCTTTAAGTGTTGCTAACACTTGAAAAAGTGATACAATAATTAATCAAATTAAATTTATAAATCATTAATCATAAGTAAACAAGTACATTGATTTATTAATCAATATATACATAGTTAATTAATTTTATCTAATTATTTTACATTAATTCTTATGGGGATAAATAAATGTTTATAAATGAGTACTGATTTAGAGCTAGAAAAAAATTAAATATTAAAAAATATCTAATGGCATTTTTTTTTTTATTGCTAATAGGATTCATGGTCATCAAAGCCAATGGATATGAAGCATGACAGAGAAACCGCTGATGGAGTAGAGAATTCCAGGCCTCTTTCGTTCACAGATAATAAATCTTATTGGCGTCAAAGTTCAGACTCAAAGGAAAATATCGACATCCATCAGCTTCTTTCAATAGTCAGCCGTATGACAGACAACGGTAATAATAATCAACGGAACTCAGTACCATTTCCGAATAAACTCACATCACCGCCATCATCTCCTGTGGTTAAACAGGAAGACAATAAATTATTATTTAATAATTTACTTACGACAAAAAATAATGAAGAATTACAAAATATGTTAAATGGAAACATATCTGAAGTGTCAACAGACACAAAAAGCTTTAAAGAAAAACTTATCATGTTTGAAAAACTCGGAAAATGAATATATATATATATATATATAATAAAAAACCATTGTGATAAATAAATATTTCATTGGTGTTTTTCACAGTTGTACTAATCAGTAACTTAATAACAATCAATCTTCTACTTCATGACTATATCATACTACTCAACATTTATTATTATCATTATTTTATATCTTTAGAGATTACTATAATCATACTGATGCAATTATAGTTGCAAATAAATAAGAAGAAAATACTTGCCTACAATAATTGAAGTAATTAATTAATTAATTGAACATTATTGCTCTAACGACGTACATAATTTATATAATATCAATACTGATAATGTTATGGTTTTTTCATTATTATTCAAGAGCTTAAATGTGCTGAGCACATATTAACAATGATATTTTATTTTATTCATGTAAATTAATTATTTCATTTCACTTTAGTGTGTTGATAAGAATTTTTCCAGTTTTTCTTAAAGATCTATTATATAAGACTAAATTTTTTTCTCTTCTGAGAGAATATTTACATACTTAAATCAGTGTGTTTGTATGATATTGTAGTGGAGAAGTTTAAATAATATAGAAAAGTATTTCTGATTGTAAATAAATAAAAGTAGAATTTACATATTCAATAGTTATATTAAAATTATTAATTCATTTATAATAGAGTATAAAAAATAATATTGCCCCTGGTTACCTAATTTATTAGGGCCAAAGATTAGAGGCTCAAATCCCATTTACAAGTTTATAGAATGCAAAATTGTAAAAAAAAAAATAACTGGATTGATGTCAAAGTGAATCGATTATGATTTTAAAAACCATTAGACAGAATTGAAAAAAAAAAAAAACATTAGCATAAATTTTAAATAAAAAAATACTTAAGTAATGTTAAATTTCTAATGTGGTGCCTATATATTTTTTTAGCCATCAAAAAGTATTAAAATTAATGATGAATTAAAGTGTGATCTTTTTATTGGAATAATTAATATTCGAAAGGTATTTAATTTGCATCAATCCAATGCTTAGACTCATTTGAGGCGAACATTTGGGACATTAATAAAATAATTAAAATGATTACATGAGTCTCAAGTGCCTTAAATGGACCTAAAAATTGACTAAATGTATCCTGGAAAATAATGAAATATCAAAATCGGTAGTTACCTAATGACAAACATGAATTGATTAATATACGTAAAAGTTTTTAAATAAATATAGTTGATTGGAAAGCTAAAGATATATAGACTTATAAAATAATTGAAAAATTATATAAATATTATTAATAAATATATGAATATTAATAAATAATAAATGTTTATGAATAAATGTTGTAAATAAAATCGCCATTGCTGTCATATATTAATTTGACAAAATGTAATTTATTTTTTTAAACCTGCAAATTGAACGCAAATGCGCTTCAATATTCTTTTTTAAAAAGTTACAAAATATTTAACTTAATTTTAACATGTTCTTTATCGGTTTAAAATTCACAAAATGTATCAGGTTTTTAACAAGTTGTATCCTCGGAATAATTGGATCACTGATTGCACGATTTGGTCACAAGTTATCATCATCACTACATGCACTTTATCACATGATCATTATAACAGACATGTTTTAAATAAGTTATTTAATAAAAAAATTTCATGTTTGTAATTATATTTATTTAAAAACGGAGTTGAAAAAATATTTTAGCATATTTTGTTGTTTTAGTATTTGATAAAAATAATTTAGAATTTTTATTTATGATATATAAAATGGTGAAAACTATTATTTACGATTTTTATCTAATTGAAATTTTATATGATCTGCTTAAACTTACATGAAACATTACTATTCTATTTTTATACATTTATTTTTCTTGATAATTCATTACTTATACAGAAAAGAGGAATGTAACAGTGATCCGAGAATATTTTATGGCCTTTAACCACCGTATTTTTTTTTATTTAAATATTAAATTGTTGCAAGTCTTTTTAATAATAATTTTATACAAATCAAATTATAATTATTAATCAATATTGCTTCGTTTATAGATTTTTATAATTTTATCTATGTATTTTATTGGTAAACCAATAATTTGTATAGTCCATTCATTCTATTACTACTTATGCAACAAATTAATAATTTTCTTAATCTTTGTGAAAAATTGATTGGCTACGTAATTCGAATTTGTTATATTTTATTTAAATGCACATATAACTTTTATATGAAGTATGTTTGATATAATAAAAAATGGATTGACAATAATAATTCAACAACATCAAATCCATTTTTTACGTATTGGTAAACTTTTAACATAAAGTTATCTCAAAAAGATTACGCACAATAATAATTAATAAAACTAGGCACTGCCTTGCATGTTCTAATTGTAAATAAGGTTTACAAGAAAAGTAAGAACATTTTTTAAAAAATGATAATCCATGAAAAATCACACCCCAGAAATGTAAACGCATCCCATACAAATTGGTGACACAGAAATAGTATAATTCATGAATTACTTGATTCATGAATTACACAATTAATTATTTATGATTGTTTTTAATTTGTGTCCATGTAATATTCATACTATTTAACATAATTCGTTTTTTACAATTCATCATGCACACTACTAGAATCTGAATCTGTAGTACAAAGTGCAGGTGTTGTAAATATCATTGCATATTCACACCGGCTTGGTTCTGAAACTGAAACCAGTTTATTTTCTGTTCCACATCGTAGATCAACAACAGTCGAACGTGCAGGTCCATTCCAACAAGTAAGCCCCTTATCGAACTTCATCCTTGAATATTTATTATGTTCAGGACCAATCCATTCACTCCAGTGACCAAGACTTACTTCACTACCTCCTGATTTTGCACTCTGAGAAGCTCGACCGAACATACACATGGAATAAACGTATTCCAGATCCGTATATTGATAACATGTACCATCAAGAGTAGCAAAGACTTCTCCTGGACCATAATCTCGATCAACTTTGGCCTCTATTGATCTTATTTGATTTTGTAAGTCCATAACTACTTTTTCTACTTCTTGATATTGATTTCTTGCTTCATTTGCTTCGTTAATAATAGCCTGAGTCTCTTCATCATACTGAATTGCTGGCTCTTCAGGTTTTTCTGGTTCTTCATGAGCTTCTGAATGATCACCTTCTTCTTCTTCCAACTCATGTTCATCTTCTTCACCATGTTCTTCTTCCATATCTTCATGAAGTTCTTCAGCATCTTCTTCGCCAGTTGGTGGTCTAAATAATCCTGAAAATAAACGAAAATTTACAATTAATCTGTAAGTACAAAATATTACATTGCATACTTATATTTAATATAATTACCTTGTTCTTTCATCATGAAAGGTTTAATCTTGATCCAAGATTTTTCGATAAATTCATCTAAATTAACTTCATCTTGTCCTAAAAAGTACATTGCTTCTTCTTCAGTAATTACTCCATTACCATCTCGATCAAATATTATTCTTGTTTGGAGTTCTTGGATTGTTACACTTTTACTCTCATCAGAATCAAGCTTCTTAAAGTATTCTTCAGCTTCAATTTCCTTACCTTCAGGTTTTTCAGTCTCTTCTGGAATTGGTTCTGGTTCAGGTTTATATTTTTCTAAAGCAGCACTTTCCCTTTCTTCCGCTTGAGTTTTAATCACTTCTTTTTCTTTTTTCACTCGCTCTGCCTCCAAGTATTCAGCTTTTAATTGAGATAATTTCTCAACATTATCTGTTCTCAATTTTTGGCCTTGTTGAGACATCTCCAGTTTAATTTTGCTACCTTCTCGTGCTAACTCTGCAGCCTTTTCCGCTTCAGCTCTAGCTTCTCTACCAAGCTCATAGCAATTGTCAATACATGACACACCCGATGCATATTCATCACTAGCATCACAACAATCACATATTCCATCATTCACTCGGCTAGATGGGATGTATATGGACCTAAACCCAGTGTTTTCGCAGAAAAAGAAGCCATTATAGCAAGCCGCTGTGCCCGGTTCATCACTACCATCTCCACAATCGCAATAATCATCATTAACTTTATTAAAAGTTATTCTACGACTACCATCTAAACATTCAAAGTCTTTTTCAGGGTTATATAGAGGACTTTTGGGCAGTGATACACCTCGAAGGCGAAGTACTTGGGTGCCGGTTACGTGGCTTAAATCAAACGATAGCACTATTGACGACACTCCAAAAAACAACAAATAGTTCATCATGGTTGTAGAATGAATTTCTAACAAAAAAATCACAATTATTATAACTAGATCTAATAAGATCTAATGTTAAGTTTATTAACTAATACTTTCTTATCAATAATATTATTTTTTATTAAAGATAACTCAAGTAAACGACTCACAATCATACACTCTCAAGCGTTTGCGAAACCTCCTCAGGTACCCTGCCTGAGTATCATTGCTTAGAGCTAAAATCCCTAGAAAAATTATAATTCCCTAGTAATATTTATCAAATAAAATATTCAAATAAATTTTTATCACAGTTTGTTCTAAAATTATATCAATAAATAAATATAAAAAATAGTATTATAAATAATAATTGATGAAATTGTAAAATAAGAGAGCATTTTTATAAATTCATTCACGAAAATCCACGTCATTCATAAACTTCTAGGAGATTTTTTTTTGGTTTGAAGAAGATAACCTAGAAGTTTGTCTTACCGACTGAGAGAAACAAGTTAACCTATTCTATCGAGTAATGGTTCGTAAACATTACAGTTATCTATCTTTTTTCAAACAAAAACTATAAATAGGTGAAAATAATTATTTTTTATAGTTTTTTCTGTTTTAGAGACATGTTTAATATTAAAAAATATATAAATAAACAAATGAATTGATAAAATAAGGTGTATATGTGCTAAGAAATGTTGAAATCAATTTTTCTTGTCAAGAATTGAATGAGTCTTTATTTCAAGTAATTGACATAATTATTTAATGACATAAATAATGATGAAATTGACGAATTATAAATAGATAATTTGTTTTTTAGTTGAATTAAATATACATAATCATTGTTCAATTGTTATAACACATTTAACCTCTACAAAGCATTAACAATCCATTGAAATATTTTCAACAATCATCTGGATTGTCATCATTATTAATTATCATCAAAATATGCACAAATATACCAATTTTTATTAAAATAGAATCATTCTCACAGAAACTACTTGTTTGGTTGATGAAAAAATTTACTTTAGAACCAATGTTCATAAATTCTTTACTAATTTATGCTTTTTGTGTAGGAGTACTGCACACTTTTGCAGAAACTTATTACACTTTTTCAATAATCAATCCTATTCCTAAGAATTTAGTGGCTATAGTGAATGGTTATGTGACTATTTGTGTTGGTGTAATAATAAGTGAAAAACATGTTCTAGTTAGAAAGGAATGTTTGACTGATTGGAATTCAAAGTCAACGAAATTGAAAATTGGAGCTGGAAATACTGTACGAGGATATGATTGGTATCAACAGTTTGTAAATATATCTCAAATAAATGATTTCACATATGATCTATCAATAGTATTGGTAAGAGATATTTATTTACTTCAACAACAATTTATTAAACAAATATTTACCCAAATTATCTTAATTTTCTGAATTAGCTCAATCATACAATCAAATTGAATGAGCAAGTTCAAGTAGCTCAATTGCCCACTCAAGATGTGCATACAAAAAAGAATGCTATTGTTTCGGGATGGACTGGTAAATGTTCAAATGATTTCAAGTTTTTCGTTAATCGAAAGTTGATGGTGGTACACTATTACCCAAAGGAGTGTGGAGAAAAAAAAGATGATGAATTTTGTGGAAGAACAAAGTATCCTAAGAAGTCACATAGTACTAAAGATGATGGAATTGATCGAGTAATATTTTTTTTATATGCTATAAGGTGGAATATTTAACACTGATGTTTTTATATATTAAATCTCTTTTTATTCTAGGTATACAAAATATCAGAAGGAGCACCAATGATTGATTCAAATGGAGTTTTAATTGGTTACACTCGATTTGGATGTAAAGAAGGTGGTCCAGTTGTCAATATATATCGTCATGTAAATACAATCAGAAATATTATAGAGAATCCTTGAACTTGAAAATGTTGGGATAGACTTAGGAAAGGGAATTCGTTAATGGATTTACAATTTATTCATAAATTTTATTATATTAATAGACATATTATTAACTAGATAAAAGTGAAATCACTCTTTTTTTTAAATATTACCATCTATAAATATTTTTTTGATTAATTGAATACTTTATTTTTTGAAACGTTGTCAAACGCAACTGAAGAATCAATTTAAAAAAATACATTTAACTCCAAAACAGACACGTTTGAACAGATCAAAGAATTAAAGGGTATTTTTGTATAAAGGGTGATTGAGTCCTTTGATTCGAATTTCAATTAAGACAATTTTTATAGGTGATATAGAATTCAATACATGGATAAAAAACTTTGGTAATACAATTATCGTAGATTAATCTAGTTTAAACATTGATTGATAACTATATAACATCTTTAGGTAATTGTTATCAAGATCTTTAATTTTTAAAGCAGTAAAATAGATATGTGTTATCATTATGTTGATATAGACTTTTTCAGCATATCCAGCTTCCCATGGTAAACATGGTGAACTGCCGGAAGACCTAGTCTTGTACAATGATGAGCCATCAACATATACTCTTAAACAATCGAATTAAGAATGGACAGTATATGAAACGATGCCTGCTGAGTATATCAATTATACATAACAGCTCTCTAAGTAAAATAATATGTTATACAATAATTTATCTGTATAACACAAAAAATAATTGTTCACATATTGTGTAAACCTTAATTTAAACTTAGAGATAGTATTCAATGTAATTTTTATTTAAAAAAATATTTAAATTTAAAATTTGTTTTATGAAAGATATAGATGATTTATTACCATCAATGATAGTAGATATATCATAAATAAGTAGAATAAATAGTAAAGTAGTTTATTTTTTTAATTTAACTACTTTAATTCTATTTGTATACTGATTATGAATTAAAGCCCATCGACTGTTTAATGATGATGGAATAGCTGGTTTCTTAAATTCAACTTTCTTTGCTTTTTTTTGCAAGTATCTGTTCGTTCGAAACACATCTATAATCCCTGAAGATTTTGGACGAACAGGTTCACCTATCTTCTCACATGCATCAGCTATTTCATCTTCTTCCCTGGTTTTTTGTAAAGTTTCATCACTGCTCACTCCCACTTGAATTTTCAGGTATTGAATCTCTTGTTTTAGCCCTTCAATTTCTCGCTTAATATGCTCGATTTCTTCCTCAAACATTGTGTGCAAAAATCCTTCTGGATTAGCTGTGAAAGGATATTTAGGATTTATTAAAATACCATTAGATTAAAAAATATTTCCTGTTATTTATGATTACTGTTAGCAATGAATTATTTTATATCAATTGTCATATTTGAAAAATATCTGTATTTTTAATTGTTGTAGGTCTCAAAACAAGCATAGATGTTCTCTGATCAAGCATCAGATCAAGATATATTTCCTTGGGAATAAATGTACCCAATAAGATACGTGATTCTAATACATTGTATTATTGTAACCAAGCAGATAGCAGGTACTTACACTCAAAAATATTTATTGGTGTACTACTCACTATGTTCCAAGATAGGTAACTTATATCAATGATGACAGTCTGCTGATGCTTCTCAGCAATGATTAACTTTTGAATAAATCTTCAAATGTAGCCTCGATAGATTTAACTACTGTATTATTTTAAAGTTATTCAATCAATTAAAGCACAACTATTTAATTTCTTTTCTAATAATTTTATAATTTATTTATTTAACAATTACAATTGACATAAAAAAATATTTTTCACCTAATAAACATTTAATTTAAATAAAATACTAATTTATTAAACTCTCATTTATTTGACTAGTAAAAAATAATTGCAATTATCAAGAAAAGAAGTATTAATAAAACTTTTCACTCAAGAAACGAGAACAAGTTTTGAAGACAGAGATCCTGAGTTTCTTTTCGCAAGGGTTTATGTAAAACTTTGTATCCTGTAAAATGCAACAGTGGAAAGGAATTAGTAGTGGGGTATTTTCCCTCTAAATGAATTTATAGGAGATGCGTATGCGCGACTGAGTCCTAACACTTGCTGGTTCTACCTCTGAATTTCACCCTTCCTGCTCGTACTTGTTGCGTTGGAGCACGTGAGCTTTTTTGTTTACCCTCTGAAACGAATTAGTAAAAAATATTCAGTGATTACCAATGCCAATACATATATTCAAGTGTATCAATGACCTATTTTATCATTTTTTTACTGAAGTTCTGTTTTATGAGTGTCATATTGTATATTATCACTTATATGTATGATGTATCATATGTAAAGAGAATAAATAATAAAGTGTTTCATTTAAAAAAATTTAATGTATTTAATAATTTACCTCACTCCCACCACTACTCGTCTTAAGTACCTTGGTGTGTGTCAAATCGTACGATAAAATACATGATAATTTTAACATTGTTGCAGTTAGACAAAATACAGACAACACTTTAAAAAATATGTACATTTCATGGATGACTTTTAGAACGTTTGGTCATCTAAGCTTTTTCATACTGCTTGTCAAATGACTAATAATGACAATTTTCTGTTGTGATGTTTTCTATTATCCCATTATTTTGATGATTAAATCAATAAAGTCGTGGTGTATTTTGAAGTAGAAAATTGCTAAATATGAATAGCTTATCCACAAAAGAATTAATGTACATTTTTAAAAAAATTATAAATATACCAGATCTCTTAATACTGCGTGAAGTTTGTAAGAAATGGAACGATGTAATAGATCTTTTATTGATCAACATTAAATTATGGAAGAATATGTGCTCCAAAGATGTCATCAGTCCATGGGTTCATGAAATTGTAAAGAATAAATATTCATCTTATTCTGTAGCAGATTTTGAGAATAAAACCTTTGATCAATCAACATGGAAAGAAATTTATTTATTTTACAAAAAATGGCGACAATGCGTTTATATTCCATCCATACATTTTTTTTTCAATATCACTTCTGAAACAACTACGGATGATCATCATGAAAAAGCCACATGCATGGATATTTGGGGTTAGCATTGTGAAGAATCGACTAAGATTTTTGTTAGAATTGAAATATTTATTAACATTTGAATTTACAGCTGATTATGTAGTCGTTGGTAGCAATATTGGAAACGTGAACTTTTATCTTCTTCGAGGTCGATATAGAAGATTATATCAAATTAAAAATCCACAATTATTCATTACGGAAGTCAAGTTTTGGTTCACGAGTAAGTATTATTGAATATCTTGATTTTTTAAACTAGACTCAAGTCAAACGTAAACGAAGGTAAAACCGGAAATTGCTAGAATCTTAGCATAAATTATGCTCGGATCATAATGAATCAGTTAGGATAAATTTTTGTCGAGGATGATTGAATTTCGCATTTCCGAACACCGAAATGGACAGAATTACCCCAATCATCAAAATTGGAGAATTTTGTTTTCTAACCTCAAAAAACAGCAAATAATCGTAATTATGCTTGGATCATAAAATTAATGATGCCATTAGAAAGATGGGGACGAGACGATTCCTAAACACTGGCTGTCGGCCATATTTGGTTTGTGAAATCAGGAGATATTCCTGAAATTCTGCAAAACATAAAAAAGTGCATAACTTCTATGCATATGATGCTACGGGGTTGATCGAGGGCTCATATCAAAGATCTGGACCTCAGTAAAAAATTCGATCCCCCCTATAGGATATCCCCGTCAAAAATGCCGTATCTCGCTTAGTTTTCGAGTTATGAGCGTTTAAAGATTTTTCTATGTTTTATCGAAGCATAGCTTTGTTTTTCGCTCATAACTTACGATCTATGAGAGGTAGATGAACAATAAGCATATCAATGGATTCCTGAGAGCAAGAGCTTTCCAATGCAATAGTTAAAATTATGATCCGAGCATAATTTATGCTAAAATTATGGCCATTTCCGGTTCCTCCATTATATTCGTATCTATGGGTTTTAATATGGATTGATATTGAGGGTCGAATTGCAGATCTTCGGATTGTACAGAATTACCCCCAATCATCAATATTGGAGAATTTTGTTTCCTAACCTCAAAAAACAGCAAATAATCGTAATTATGCTTGGATCATAAAATTAATGATGTCATTGGACAGATGGGGACGAGACGATTCCCAAACACTGGCTGTCGGCCATATTTGGTTTGTAAAATCAGGAGATATTCCTGAAATTCTGCAAAACATAAAAAAGTGCATAACTTCTATGCATATGATGCTACGGGGTTGATCGAGGGCTCATATCAAAGATCTGGACTTGAGTAAAAAATTCGATCCCCCCTATAGGATATCCCCGTCAAAAATGCCGTATCTCGCTTAGTTTTCGAGTTATGAGCGTTTAAAGGTTTTTTTATGTTTTATCGAAGCATAGCTTTGTTTTTCGCTCATAACTTACGATCTATGAGAGGTAGATGAACAATAAGCATATCAATGGATTCCTGAGAGCAAGAGCTTTCCAATGCAATAGTTAAAATTATGATCCGAGCATAATTTATGCTAAAATTATGGCCATTTCCGGTTCCTCCATTATATTCGTATCTATGGGTTTTAATATGGATTGATATTGAGGGTCGAATTGCAGATCTTCGGATTGTACAGAATTACCCCCAATCATCAATATTGGAGAATTTTGTTTTCTAACCTCAAAAAACAGCAAATAATCGTAATTATGCTTGGATCATAAAATTAATGATGTCATTGGACAGATGGGGACGAGACGATTTCCAAACACTGGCTGTCGGCCATATTTGGTTTGTAAAATCAGGAGATATTCCTGAAATTCTGCAAAACATAAAAAAGTGCATAACTTCTATGCATATGATGCTACGGGGTTGATCGAGGGCTCATATCAAAGATCTGGACCTCAGTAAAAAATTCGATCCCCCCTATAGGATATCCCCGTCAAAAATGCCGTATCTCGCTTAGTTTTCGAGTTATGAGCGTTTAAAGATTTTTCTATGTTTTATCGAAGCATAGCTTTGTTTTTCGCTCATAACTTACGATCTATGAGAGGTAGATGAACAATAAGCATATCAATGGATTCCTGAGAGCAAGAGCTTTCCAATGCAATAGTTAAAATTATGATCCGAGCATAATTTATGCTAAAATTATGGCCATTTCCGGTTCCTCCATTATATTCGTATCTATGGGTTTTAATATGGATTGATATTGAGGGTCGAATTGCAGATCTTCGGATTGTACAGAATTACCCCCAATCATCAATATTGGAGAATTTTGTTTCCTAACCTCAAAAAACAGCAAATAATCGTAATTATGCTTGGATCATAAAATTAATGATGTCATTGGACAGATGGGGACGAGACGATTCCCAAACACTGGCTGTCGGCCATATTTGGTTTGTAAAATCAGGAGATATTCCTGAAATTCTGCAAAACATAAAAAAGTGCATAACTTCTATGCATATGATGCTACGGGGTTGATCGAGGGCTCATATCAAAGATCTGGACCTGAGTAAAAAATTCGATCCCCCCTATAGGATATCCCCGTCAAAAATGCCGTATCTCGCTTAGTTTTCGAGTTATGAGCGTTTAAAGGTTTTTTTATGTTTTATCGAAGCATAGCTTTGTTTTTCGCTCATAACTTACGATCTATGAGAGGTAGATGAACAATAAGCATATCAATGGATTCCTGAGAGCAAGAGCTTTCCAATGCAATAGTTAAAATTATGATCCGAGCATAATTTATGCTAAAATTATGGCCATTTCCGGTTCCTCCATTATATTCGTATCTATGGGTTTTAATATGGATTGATATTGAGGGTCGAATTGCAGATCTTCGGATTGTACAGAATTACCCCCAATCATCAATATTGGAGAATTTTGTTTCCTAACCTCAAAAAACAGCAAATAATCGTAATTATGCTTGGATCATAAAATTAATGATGTCATTGGACAGATGGGGACGAGACGATTCCCAAACACTGGCTGTCGGCCATATTTGGTTTGTAAAATCAGGAGATATTCCTGAAATTCTGCAAAACATAAAAAAGTGCATAACTTCTATGCATATGATGCTACGGGGTTGATCGAGGGCTCATATCAAAGATCTGGACCTGAGTAAAAAATTCGATCCCCCCTATAGGATATCCCCGTCAAAAATGTCGTATCTCGCTTAGTTTTCGAGTTATGAGCGTTTAAAGGTTTTTTTATGTTTTATTGGAGCATAGCTTTGTTTTTCGCTCATAACTTACGATCTATGAGAGGTAGATGAACAATAAGCATATCAATGGATTCCTGAGAGCAAGAGCTTTCCAATGCAATAGTTAAAATTATGATCCGAGCATAATTTATGCTAAAATTATGGCCATTTCCGGTTCCTCCATTATATTCGTATCTATGGGTTTTCATATGGATTGATATTGAGGGTCGAATTGCAGATCTTCGGATTGTACAGAATTACCCCCAATCATCAATATTGGAGAATTTTGTTTTCTAACCTCAAAAAACAGCAAATAATCGTAATTATGCTTGGATCATAAAATTAATGATGTCATTGGACAGATGGGGACGAGACGATTTCCAAACACTGGCTGTCGGCCATATTTGGTTTGTAAAATCAGGAGATATTCCTGAAATTCTGCAAAACATAAAAAAGTGCATAACTTCTATGCATATGATGCTACGGGGTTGATCGAGGGCTCATATCAAAGATCTGGACCTGAGTAAAAAATTCGATCCCCCCTATAGGATATCCCCGTCAAAAATGCCGTATCTCGCTTAGTTTTCGAGTTATGAGCGTTTAAAGGTTTTTTTATGTTTTATTGGAGCATAGCTTTGTTTTTCGCTCATAACTTACGATCTATGAGAGGTAGATGAACAATAAGCATATCAATGGATTCCTGAGAGCAAGAGCTTTCCAATGCAATAGTTAAAATTATGATCCGAGCATAATTTATGCTAAAATTATGGCCATTTCCGGTTCCTCCATTATATTCGTATCTATGGGTTTTCATATGGATTGATATTGAGGGTCGAATTGCAGATCTTCGGATTGTACAGAATTACCCCCCAATCATCAATATTGGAGAATTTTGTTTTCCTAACCTCAAAAAACAGCAAATAATCGTAATTATGCTTGGATCATAAAATTAATGATGTCATTGGACAGATGGGGACGAGACGATTTCCCAAACACTGGCTGTCGGCCATATTTGGTTTGTAAAATCAGGAGATATTCCTGAAATTCTGCAAAACATAAAAAAGTGCATAACTTCTATGCATATGATGCTACGGGGTTGATCGAGGGCTCATATCAAAGATCTGGACCTGAGTAAAAAATTCGATCCCCCCTATAGGATATCCCCGTCAAAAATGCCGTATCTCGCTTAGTTTTCGAGTTATGAGCGTTTAAAGGTTTTTTTATGTTTTATTGGAGCATAGCTTTGTTTTTCGCTCATAACTTACGATCTATGAGAGGTAGATGAACAATAAGCATATCAATGGATTCCTGAGAGCAAGAGCTTTCCAATGCAATAGTTAAAATTATGATCCGAGCATAATTTATGCTAAAATTATGGCCATTTCCGGTTCCTCCATTATATTCGTATCTATGGGTTTTAATATGGATTGATATTGAGGGTCGAATTGCAGATCTTCGGATTGTACAGAATTACCCCCAATCATCAATATTGGAGAATTTTGTTTCCTAACCTCAAAAAACAGCAAATAATCGTAATTATGCTTGGATCATAAAATTAATGATGTCATTGGACAGATGGGGACGAGACGATTCCCAAACACTGGCTGTCGGCCATATTTGGTTTGTAAAATCAGGAGATATTCCTGAAATTCTGCAAAACATAAAAAAGTGCATAACTTCTATGCATATGATGCTACGGGGTTGATCGAGGGCTCATATCAAAGATCTGGACCTGAGTAAAAAATTCGATCCCCCCTATAGGATATCCCCGTCAAAAATGCCGTATCTCGCTTAGTTTTCGAGTTATGAGCGTTTAAAGGTTTTTTTATGTTTTATCGAAGCATAGCTTTGTTTTTCGCTCATAACTTACGATCTATGAGAGGTAGATGAACAATAAGCATATCAATGGATTCCTGAGAGCGAGAGCTTTCCAATGCAATAGTTAAAATTATGATCCGAGCATAATTTATGCTAAAATTATGGCCATTTCCGGTTCCTCCATTATATTCGTATCTATGGGTTTTAATATGGATTGATATTGAGGGTCGAATTGCAGATCTTCGGATTGTACAGAATTACCCCCAATCATCAATATTGGAGAATTTTGTTTCCTAACCTCAAAAAACAGCAAATAATCGTAATTATGCTTGGATCATAAAATTAATGATGTCATTGGACAGATGGGGACGAGACGATTCCCAAACACTGGCTGTCGGCCATATTTGGTTTGTAAAATCAGGAGATATTCCTGAAATTCTGCAAAACATAAAAAAGTGCATAACTTCTATGCATATGATGCTACGGGGTTGATCGAGGGCTCATATCAAAGATCTGGACCTGAGTAAAAAATTCGATCCCCCCTATAGGATATCCCCGTCAAAAATGCCGTATCTCGCTTAGTTTTCGAGTTATGAGCGTTTAAAGGTTTTTTTATGTTTTATCGAAGCATAGCTTTGTTTTTCGCTCATAACTTACGATCTATGAGAGGTAGATGAACAATAAGCATATCAATGGATTCCTGAGAGCGAGAGCTTTCCAATGCAATAGTTAAAATTATGATCCGAGCATAATTTATGCTAAAATTATGGCCATTTCCGGTTCCTCCATTATATTCGTATCTATGGGTTTTAATATGGATTGATATTGAGGGTCGAATTGCAGATCTTCGGATTGTACAGAATTACCCCCAATCATCAATATTGGAGAATTTTGTTTCCTAACCTCAAAAAACAGCAAATAATCGTAATTATGCTTGGATCATAAAATTAATGATGTCATTGGACAGATGGGGACGAGACGATTCCCAAACACTGGCTGTCGGCCATATTTGGTTTGTAAAATCAGGAGATATTCCTGAAATTCTGCAAAACATAAAAAAGTGCATAACTTCTATGCATATGATGCTACGGGGTTGATCGAGGGCTCATATCAAAGATCTGGACTTGAGTAAAAAATTCGATCCCCCCTATAGGATATCCCCGTCAAAAATGCCGTATCTCGCTTAGTTTTCGAGTTATGAGCGTTTAAAGGTTTTTTTATGTTTTATCGAAGCATAGCTTTGTTTTTCGCTCATAACTTACGATCTATGAGAGGTAGATGAACAATAAGCATATCAATGGATTCCTGAGAGCGAGAGCTTTCCAATGCAATAGTTAAAATTATGATCCGAGCATAATTTATGCTAAAATTATGGCCATTTCCGGTCTTACCTTTTTTTAAGCGTTACATTTCGGACTTTCTGTATTCTTTAAGTGAGAACATGAATTCTCGGCGCAATCAGAAACATATGATTCAATGCATCAAGATAGGAGGAATCAGTTAGCTTCATGACTTGAGTCCCTTCTTAATAAATGTGTTACAAGAATGGATGAAGAGGAAAATAATCGAATTAATTTTTTAGATGCTCAGAAATTAATTGCTGTCATAGCTCTTAGAAATCGGCATTTAAAATTTTGGGATGTTGAGAACCGCTATAATATCGAAAGTCCATCTGAAAATCAGTCATCAACAATAGCTGAATGGTATGAAATATTGTTACTACATCAGATTATTTCAATCGCTAAAAATACAGTAATTCCTTTCTTTTCTTCCTATTCCGAAAATTAGCAAATTTCATAGATTCTTTGTGGCAAGTAATCTGGAGATTCTGGAATATAAATATCATCGAAATAGAATACATGAAAGACAACGATTCGCATTATCTACGATTTTGAGTTCAACTGTTGATCAGCCTATCAACATCATTGGAATGTACATCGGTGTAAATAAGGTAAAAAATAAAATAGAAACAAACATTTAAATATTGTCTCTAATTTCCGATTCTTTATTATCATTATTAAAATGAATAAGATAATAAAAAATAATGATCTCATTTTACAGTTGACAATAGTTGGAAGTAATTTTCCTACAATTGTAACGACATCGTTAAACATTCCTGTATTACCACATCGTAGGTCCATGATCATTTCCAAAGATGTTTCTATTCATAAAACAGAGCAATTTTCAAATAATAAATTCATTTTATGTCATGTACCACTTAATGATGTTCTGCTAATTGTTGATGGTAATAGAATTCTTTAAAAAAACTGATACTAATTATCAAAGAATATGTGATCAGCTATTATAATCAAGAATTTATCTTGACAGATTTATTCTTATACACTGCTACAAAAGATTCAACGAACCAAGAATACGTGTGGAAAACATATCAATTGAAAGATCCTCTAAAAAGAAACATTTCATCTGTCCTTTTATTTGCAAACACTTTGATTATAGGTACTAGAACAGGTAATTGTTAAATAGTTACGACTTCTTTCTATTGTCTTCTTATGGTTTATTTCTTCTCTCTAAAATTACCCCACAGTATTGAATCAGTAAATGTTCCTTTTGTATGGTAGGATTGACATTAAAACTCGGTGAACGTTTACTGATTCAACTGAAGAGAATCGTATTATATTTTTTAAATGTTTTCAGGTATATTAAATCTCTATATTTTAAAAAATGTTTATCATTTCTCCAATCTTATTCTGGAGACCATTCCTTCAAGATCTGTTTATCTCAGTACGGAACCAATAACTGATTTGAAAATCACTGACTTGAAAGGTTTTTTTCATATTTTTGCCATGACAGGATCAATGTTACATATTGTTAAATTTTCTGAAAATGATTTTGAACAACTATGAGCATTTTTATCTGCAAAAACAATTGGTATTGATATTTTAATTGTTAAGTTGTATTATTTAATAATGATTTGTCAACATTGTAGCAATAAGAGTTGATTTCTTAATTGTTTGAATATGTTAGACAATTTAAAAAATGGTTTTATATACAATAAAAATAATGATTCATACAATACTTAGATCACTCGAGAATTTGTAGAATTTCTAAGCTTCTCTGGTTAATGTCTTTCACGTTTTTCTTTAAACAAAAACAAAAAATCAATTGATTTAAGTCAACTTTTTTTTAAATATGGAGGATCTACCACCTGAAATGTTAGTTTTGATTTTCGCAAAAATTAATAATCCATTAAATCTTTTACGCTGTCGTGAAGTATGTACTAGATGGACTAATATTATTGATTACTCGCTAATAAAATTCAAACGATGGGAAGAAATGTGTTTTAATAATTATGTACGACCATGGATTCATAAAGTTATTGAAAGAAGATTTCCATTACTTACGAAAGATGAATGGCAACTTTTAACACAATTAGATTGGAAACAAGTTTATTTATCTTACAGAATTTGGCAAACTTGTCATCGATTCAAATTAGTTCATAAAGTTATTTTTAATTTTCATCTCCCTGAATATGAGGCTGAAAATGAAACAATTACTTCCATGGATGTTAGAGGTAAGGAATATAATATTATTCATGATGTTATTACAATTAAGTAATTTTGTATTTCTATTTTAGCTAATTTTCTTGCAATCGGCAATTTTACTGGAATAGTTCGTTATTTTTTTATTGGAGAAAATATTCAACCATTGTACTATGAAGAATATCCACATTTTTGTGTAACTAATATCAAATTTTGGTATATTGGTAATTAAATTATATATAATTGCAAAAATATCATTGACCTTAAGATGAATGGATATATTTTATTGATGTTAGGAAAGTGAAAAAAAAATCTTCTATATATTTCAGACAACAAGCGATTGATTGCTGTTATTGCATTAAAGAATCGTTTTCTGGAATTTTGGGATGTCCAGTACAGAGAAAGTATTCCTAGCTCATTAATAAACTTTCCATCTACAGCAATCGTATGGTAGATAAAAAATATTCATATGGAAATATCAAAACTGGTGTTAATATTTATATTTTATTTACATAAGTGATGGTCACAGATTATTTGTTGCGAATAATTCTGAAATTCTTGAATGTGTGTGGGATGGTAATCAAGTATTAAAAGGAAAAATAAGTACACTTGGTCATTTTCCACTTAGTCCAATAGCACAACCATTAGATATTATTTGTATGAATATTGATACAGATCATAAGGTAACATACATATGGCTATAAAATAATTAAATGAACAAAATGTCAACAGTTATGAATGTTATTAGTTTTATAGTTAACAGCAGTGAGATGTGATTATCGCATTTTATTAACAAACGCATTTATAATTCCCACTTCTAAAAATCCGGATTTTCAACCGATTATTGAAGGCTGTCTGAAATATTATGAAAACGACAACTTTAAAAGACAAAGATTTATATTCAATTATCCAGTTGCTAATACTTTTTTGATTATCAATGGTAATTCAACGTATTCATTTTTAATATTTATAAAAAATATTTTTTTATTATTGTTTTTTTTTAATAAATGTTTTTATTTGTAGATGAACATCTTCATGTATGTCTTAAACATTCACATAACTATCAGTGGAAAACATTTGTATTACAATCTCCTCTGGCATCAAATACTTCTGCATGTTTTATGCACGCAAATGTTTTATTATTCGGTTTAAAATCAGGTAACATAAAAAACAGTACTAATTTTAACGTAATCAAACATTATAATTCTGAATTAAAAATTTAAAGAACACTTTCTGCTATGAACTCTTCAAAAATTATTTTATTTTAATAATTGTTAATTTTTTCTATGATTTTCTATTTTCTAATCCTACTAGTATCTTTTTATTCCATTTATTTAAAATATATTGTTTATTATTATCAGGTTCTTTATTGATGTATGTCTTGGAAAACGTTCAACATTTGTTAGAATTTACTACAAAACCTGCATATACGAGAACATTTAAACTCGACAGTCAACCAATTACTAATTTAAATGTTGCTGAATATAATTATATTCTTTATATATTTGCAACAGTGGGAACAAAGTTATATGTTGTTACATTTCCCACTGATTAATGCGATAATATTTATCAAGAATTAAAAAAAAAAATTCGTAGTTTTACTTAATGTATGTAGAAAAGGTAATATATTCTAGCAATTCTGTTTAATGTATTCGATAGCTAATAGTTTTAAAACTTATTGTATGTATTTATCAAATATTAAATCATTAACATAAAAAAAAATAATTATTATGGACTAATTGTTAAAAATATATTTTTGTTTTGATATTTTTGCTCTTTGCAATTAGTAGTAAAAAAATAAATGTTTCCAAACAAACTCAAACAACTTACAAACAAACAAAATATGATTCCTAAACTAGATGGTACAAAAGAGACTCTTACTATCTGGGAACCCCAGCAAAAAAGCGTATTAAAAATAGTTTTCAATATCTAAGACTTTAATAACTATAATTGAGATTAGATAAAACTAGATCTTCAGATTAAAACTGAAATTGAAATCAACGTAAGGCTTATGACTAAACTTATTCTATAAATTGGAATCATATTTTATAAAATATCGCTGTTAGAAAATTTAACATTTCTTTCGTTTATTTTGACGATTACCAGATCTGGTTCTTATTCGTTTCTGTTCTGCTAGTGTCGAAGATGGCTTTTCTACAACCGCTTCTTGGTCATCCGATTTCCTTACATCATAGTCAGTATTATTAGCAACGTATTGAAGAAAAGCGTTAGTGATGTCGAATATTGCAGGATCCATTGTTGTTGAAGCTTCATAAACTACGACTTCTTCATAGCTTGCACTTATTCCCAATGCTGATAATAGTTCAATTATCCATTTGAAACCAGTTTTCTTATGAAGATATGTCCCAAGAGCTAATTGTAATGTTGAAAGAAATGACTTTGGACGTATAGCAGAAATAATTGAATGTGCAATAAAATTTCGTTTGATGCTTCTTTTTGTATCACCTGAGTTATTTTCGTTAGGTAATAAATTATTCAAAAAAGAAGATAATTGTGGTGGTATATCATTTTGCATGTCGTCCAAAAATGTGCTTGATTCTGGATATGATGGATAATTATATTCACGCTTGTTTACTTCTTGTCTTAATAACTCAGCAGAAACTTTCAGTATTTTTTTCTTTGCCGCGTCACTTACACTGTCCTTATTACAGTGCCAGTCTTTACAAATTTGTGCAATATCCATCTTTTCATACAAGAATTTAGGAGATTTGCCTCTTGCTGTTACAATAGTCATTTCATCTCCGAATTTTTCCTTCAAAGCAGAATAAAGCTCTTCGTTGCTACGGAATTGTTCTTGCAACAGATCTCGAAATTCTTGAAGGGTAAATTGATCTTTGCCACTTTCTATAATGAAGTTGAAGAGTTTCTGTAGTGCAGCTTCATATTCAGGATCCTGTTCTTTTGCTTTCGCTGAGTATAATACTTGAAGAAGTCGATTATAACATGCTTTATGATATGCAGCTTTGGCATCAACCAATGAAGACGTACTATTTATGCGATCAATTATCAGAAGACTATCAGCATTGTGCTTTTCACAAAGTTCAATTATTCGTTCTTTTGTTTTAACATCATTCGAGACCGTAACTACTGTTTTGTGTTTTCGATCAAGTTTCTTAGCACAAATAAAGCACAATTCTTTGAAGTCAAACATGATCTTTGATAATGGTTTTGACGAGCGTGCAGTGATAAAGAAAGCAGTAAGATTATTAAATGTTGTAATTATTTTATTGCTGTTGAATCAATAATGTATGGAAAAAAGAAAAATGAATTATTCTTTTAGTCATATTTTTTCTATTAAACATATAATACTATTATTTATATCTAGTGACGAATATTTAGATTTAGCAACGATTTATTTTCAAAATCACACACTGCTGGTTTGGAGGTTATTGCATAAAGTATACAAAATATAAAGAGCACCATCTATTGACAAATTTTCAATTTTATTGGGCACCTTAAAAATAAACAAATATTACCAACTGCGATTTTATTTTCCCCCACTTTTCATTAGATAAGTACGTTAGATCTTCTAAACAAAAGCAGCGAATCAATTACACAAAAGATGTATAAATTCATAATATGCTTTTTTCTTTACTGTAAAAAGGAATACATGAAATTAAATATTATTTTCGTCTTTAACAGCTTTAAAAATTGATATTTCAATGCTTTACGTATGTACGTATGCAATTATAAAGAGGCTTTAAAGCTCAATAAAAAAAAGAAGAAATAATTACTACAATTTATTTTGCTTTGTTCAAATTTTTCTTCGTATGTATTGCTATAGGCAATAATAGAATACTTAGGTATTATATACAAAAGCCTACTTCGTAATTTGTTCCATTAAAAATTATACGTTAATATTTAAATTAACTTTTTGTTAAATATCTTCTTACAAAACAATACAATATAATTCAAAATTAATATTATGATAACTAATTACAGTGTAGACTTTGATGTCTTTTCGTATTTTAAATGGAGATTTTGAAAGATAAATTGTGAATAAGAATATTAGTCATGTACCTTAATTATCTTTATCATTAAAATATATTAACAAAATATAACACAATAATATATTTTTATGCTCATTAAATATTTTTTAATAGATATTGTCTACTAAACAATAGTCTATTGTGAAGCATTCTTTAAACTAGATGTTCTGTACAAGTCTTGTAATTTGTAAGTTCTAGTAGAGTTGATCGAATTGCTTGCTGAAGACCAAAAAGTTGTGTTTCTTTCAATTTTCATAATTATTTAATATAATTAATGAAATAGAATTTAATATAACATAGTTATAACGACAAAATGATTCGAATAATTTTACATTTATTTGTTGTAACAATTTTATTAAATAATTATATGTGTGGCTCACATTTTATTAAAGATGTAAAGAGTCACGTTAATACAAATACTCCAACACAATGGACATTACAAATACTGCATACAAATGATATGCATTCAAGGTAAATAATTTTAATTTTGTTTTAATTATTGATAAATTAATGTTTAAGAAATATTTCTAAAGGTTTGAAGAAACAAGTTCAGTCTTAAGCACGTGTACCCAAAGAGATAAAGCTGAGAAGAAATGTTACGGAGGTTTTGCCAGGATTGCACATTTAGTTCGAAAATGGAAACAGTCTGCGTATCCTACATTATTTCTCAATGCTGGAGATACTTTTCAAGGGACAGCATGGTATTACTTGTATAAATGGGAAATTGTTGCCAAATTCTTAAATATTCTGAAACCAGATGTAATTGTAAGTAATATTATTTATTATTATCAGAACGACAAGGCGTAAAACAATTTCGAATTGATTTTATTTTTATTTTAGACTTTAGGTAATCATGAGTTTGATAATGGTATTGACGGATTACTTCCTTTTCTCAAAAACGCTTCATTTCCTATTGTGGTATCCAATCTCGATCTATCTGAAGAACCAGAAATAGCAGCGATAGTAAAAAAGAGTATCGTCCTCAACGTAAATGGTAGAAAAATTGGAATAGTTGGATATGTAACTTCAGAACCTGGAATAGTACATCCCACTGGCCGAATCATTGTTAAGAATGAGATTGAATCAATTAGAAATGAGATAAACAGGCTTAAGAAAGAAGAGGGCGTGAATATTTTCATCGGTCTTGGTCACTCTGGTTATGAAGTTGATAAAAAGATAGCAGCCGAAGTTGAAGATCTAGATTTAATTGTTGGAGGTCATTCACACAGTTTTCTCTCTAATGGAATTAAACTAGACAAAGAGATACCAACAGGTTCATATCCAACTGCTATCAAACAGAAAAATGGAAAAATTGTTTACATAGTTCAAGCTTATGAATCTACAAAATACATTGGTAGACTCTTTGCAACATTTGATAATGATGGTAATATAATTGATATTTTTGGTAAACCAATGCTACTTGATTACAAAGTACCACAAGCTCCCGATGTTCTTCAAGAACTTGAAAAGTATCGGCCAGGATTGGATGAATTTAAAAATAAACCAATTGGATATAGCAAAGTTTTATTAATGGGTGAAAGAGACGTTGTTAGAAAACGAGAAAGTAATCTAGGTAATCTAATAACTGATGCTATGATTGAATATGTAAGTATGATAATCATTTATTTTTTACGTTAAATTTCTCTATTAAATATTAAAATTTCTCATAAACTTTTAATTTCGTTACAGAATTTAGAACAGTATACAGGCCATGATGGATGGACTGATGCAGCTATTGCTACTATTAATGGTGGAGCAATTCGATGCTCAATTAATAAGACATCTGGTGAACCAGTAAGCTTAAATTAACAATTTAAAAATCATTTTAATGATTAGATTGGATTTAATCTTTTTTTTCTATTTAAGCTAACATATGAAGATGCAATTCACGCATTTGCTCTCGGAAATGTTATAGGAAAAACTAAATTAAAAGGATGGCAGATTGTACAAATGTTGGAACATAGTGTAGCGCAACATGAAATAGGTCGAAATGATATCCAATATTCAGGACAATTTTTACATTTCTCTGGACTTCAAGTAACTTATGATCTAACACAACCTGTTGGTTCACGAGTATTGTATCGAAATGGAGTTCTTATTCGATGCTCTAAATGTTTGGAGCCAAAATATTATAAATTACACTTGAACAGGACATATACAATCATTATGGATACATTCCTTTACGGTGGAGGTAATGGTTACACAATGATCAAAACTGAGAACTCAACATGGACATCTTTAGGTATGTAATCATAATCCTGTGAGTGCCATTAATTTTTCTGCTAACTATTTTTATTTTTTAGATGTTCCTTTGGATATAGTGTTAGCAAAATATGTAGAAAAAACAAAATATTACATTCATGCAGAATCTAACAAGAGAATCAAATTCTATTCTCCACAACGAACAAGTGTCATTCGCAAAAATTCACCATGATTTTATTTTGCTAATTTGAAATTTAAATAATTAATTATACATTTATAATGTAAAAAATTAGATTAAAAGTGAAATAATTTATTTATTATTGATTCAATTATAGATTTTAATATTCTGTTGATTCATTCGTGCTTCAAAATGGCATGTTTTATAAAGTATTCCGATTTTTTTCAAATACAAATCTTATCAATTTTAATCTTTAACTCGATTCGATATGATATAAACAGTTATAAGCCTTTACTCAATATAGCTATATAGCGGAAAATAATGATTAACATGACGTCATGTTTTAATGATGTATTATTAATAACTGTGATAACGTATTCACTGCTCTATGTACGACAATTTGTTTCCTGCATAGTGTAAAAGTTGTCGGTAGCAAAATAAGAAACATCAATAATCGAGTTCAATCTGAAAATGAGTGCTAATTTTTTAAGAAAAGCAGCAATAATTACTGCTGGAGGAGCAATAGGTACTGGAATAGTAGTTTTTGGTGCTCCACTTGCTGTTGCAGCTGTTGGATTTGGATCTTCGGGAATAACAGCAGGAAGTACTGCAGCCTGGTTGATGAGTTTGTCTGGTGGAGCAACACAAGCTGGAAGTGTCGTAGCTGTATGTCAAAGTATTGGAGCAACTGGAGCTGTTGCTACTTCTACGAGTGCTTTAGGAGGAGTTTTAGGAGTAAGATATCGAATCAATACATGTTATTATTGATCATATATACAAAAAAGTTAGTTCATTTTTTAATGTGTTTTTCTTTTTAATCTTATGATATTTTTTTATATTTTTAGGGAGCAGCTGGATATTTTGGTATGTACAAACATATTAAGCAATTAAAACCATGTACTTAAATTTTCTTAGTTGATGTTTGACCTCTATATTATTATTTACATAGTGAGTAGAAATGGTAATAGATCTAATGACGAACCAAACCAAAGACCAGATCAAGAACCAGATCAAAGACTCGGTCAAGGAAGAAGAAGTGAAGAAGAGTCAAGCGAAGAGAATGAGGAAGACGAAGAACAGAACGTATAAAACAAAATCAATCTATTATATTCCTTATATCATTGTAATAGTGGAAATAAATTTATTTCCTGTATAATCACGATTGTTTTATGAAAGTTTTAAGAAAGACAAAATAAAAAATTACACTTTTCTGAAATTTATCGAAGTTAATCGATATTACTCATGCTTTACTACTTTTCAAGGAGTTTCTTACAAAATTTTTTACTGTTTTATATTTTGTCTGCTTTAATGGAAAATTATAAATGAATCAATAATAATTACCAATTAAATCATATAATCAATTGTCAATAAAAAATAAAAATATTTACGAAAGATAAATATTTATTTTTATTCTTAGTTTGTTTCAATACTACTATCGAAATATTATTATTCAATTTCTTAGTTAATATTTGACTTCTATATTATTATTTATCTTCTTCTAATTATCAGTGTATTTTATATCTTTAGAAAATCGCTGGATAAATGAGGAAGTGAAAGCAACAAATTACTTTTTTCTAGAATTTTTTTAAAATTAATAAATATTTTTTATGCTTTACTATTTTATAAATATTTAATTTATACATATATTTTCTTTCTCTAATAAAAAATTACTCATTACTTATATATTACATAATATTTTTCATAATTTTATAGTCAAACATGAAGTTAAAATATTTTATTACTCAATTAATAGAACTTCACTGAATCGTATTCGTGTTAATAAAAAACGAGAACATTTACGAAAGAGTGATATTTATTTTTATTAATAAAACAAGCACATTTTGAATACATTCTAGTTGTCGACGAAAAATTTGATCATTTAGAATTTTTTCTGTACCAATTGACGTATTCCAAATAGATGAATTAGAAATTTTTTATTTGAAGGAAATAAAAAAGATTGAAACCCAAGACTGAATAAAGAAGATAATTCTTACACTTTTCTTGTTTATTAAAGAGTCAAAATTTCGGACGCTCGGGATTCAAGTAGCATTTCCATTAAATTAACATCTTTACACCAACGATCTAACTGCTGAACCATTCCGGAGATTTGATTGCGATCAAGAACTCTCGGTTGGACCCAAGTCATATTGACAGTACCGGCTACTTGATCTATAGCTCCACGAACAAGACCTTGAGCTAGAGCTTTCATAACTAATAGTTCTACTTCATTAACTGGCAGTCGTGTTTCTTGTGAAATTTCCGTAAACGTAAGTTGGCTGAAAAAATAATCAACACTTATTTCTCCGAAAAATGTCTTGAATTAAAACAGAAGTCATTAATAGTTTTAATAAAAAATAAAAATTCTACCGATTATTTGCTTGACGTTTGAATGTCATCTCCATCAAACACAACAATGATATTTTTTGCCGTAATTTCAATTCTTGTGCTGCTAAATCAGCAACTTTAGTCCATTGAGGTTTGAGTTTTTCAAAAGCAGCAATGTCGCCTGCATTGAAGGCTTGAAGAAGATCAACTAGCCAACCATTTGGAGTACCTCTCAATGAGTCTAACACTGGATGAGCTAAAAGTTCTCCAAGGTTGTAAACTCCCTCACCTAGAAGAGCTGCTAATCCGAGGAAAAATGCATGTTGCTCTTGTTCTTGTTTGTTTAAAGTACTCAAATTAATACAACCTAAATATCTGTAAAATGATGCATTTTAAATATTTTATGTTTTGATAATTCTCAATATTACTTAATTGTAATTCCTCTTTATAAAGAAAAATCACTCATTTATCATACCTTAAAGCTGTACGATAATATTCAGCATGTTTTCCTTGCAATCGATATAATCTGCTAGCAAGTAGATAAAATCTACCATGTACAGAGGTAACCCCATCAGCATTATCAAGCATTGCTTCGACATCTTCAATGATTTTTTTTGTCTTCACTTGATCATTGAGTTTATCCAAAAGAATTTGTCCTTGCAATACTTTACACAATGCAACTGCTTCATTGTTATTACTAACTTTAGTCTCTGTTTTTTCTAAAAATTTCACAGCTTCTTTTTTATCTACAAACTGCTGAACAATGTGTGCTGATATCTCCACGAGAGACAAAGAATTAATTCTAAAATCGAATAAAATCACGAGATGTTTTCAATTGTAGGTTATGTTTAATATTAGTATTTATCAAAGTAGATTATACAAAACAAACTCACTTATTTTCGAACGTTGACAAGAAGTTTTTATACAATTGGATGAGATTATCACCTTTTTGGAGAGCAGGATGTTTGACAAATGTCTCCAATTTTAGAGTGAGTTGATGCCATAGTCTGCAAGTCAGCAAATAAATCTTAACAACTAGATCCAACTCATAAATTACATGAGATTAAATATTATTTACCTTTTATTATAAAGCTCCTCCAATTGTGCCCATTCTGCGGCCAATTCTTTATCCGTAACATTTTGTCTTTGACTCAAAAAGGTATTAACATCCTTCGATCCTGTGGCGGCTGCCATGTTTATTAACAATGACCGGCACAATTGTTGTATCGAACATGAAAATGCACTTCTCTGAGATAAGCAAACTAGAAATAAATCGTCATGCACTCTTTTGAAGATAAATTAAAATTTTTGTATTATTTGTAGGAAACTTAGATCTCTAGTTTATTTATCAACGTCTCATACAGTGTCGACACACTGAATGAGTAGATTTGGAGGTTATACAAGGAAATTATTTTGGCGCATGCGCACAAGTTATTTCTGAGCTTGTTCATAACTTAAAATAATTAATTTCTCATATAGAATAATTTTCTGTATAACAATTTTTAATAAATAATAACTTAGAATAACTTGAAATAAAATATAATAAATATAATAAACATAATAACTTAAAAAAAAAATTTCTCGTATAACTTCTAAGTGCTCTAAGTCTACTCTTTCAGTGTTCGACTATATTTCGTGTCTCTTTTCATAAAAAAACATACACGACACCCGGCCACGTCAAAATAAATTATTTAAAAATGGTAAGAAAACAATATGAAATTTATTTACTGAAAAAATGTAAAATTATCATAAGTATCTTCCCCTTATTTAATTGTACTATAAAGTTGTATTAAATCTTAAAATCAAAACCGGTAGTTGTATTCTAACCTTAATACATGTTTTTATATTTAATCGACACATGATTGCTTCATTTATTATTGTATTTTAATTTTAGATTGAAATTGAATCTATGACAAGGTATGTTTCACCTGTAAATCCAGCTGTATTTCCAATACTAGCTATGGTTCTTCTTGGAATTGGTATTTTCTTCACAGCCTGGTTTTTCGTTTACGAAGTCACTAGTACAAAATTCACAAGAGATATTTTTAAAGAATTACTTGTATCTCTTGTTGCGGCACTATTTTCGGGTTTTGGAGTATTATTTTTAATGCTATGGGTTGGAATTTATGTATAGGTAAGATTTTAATTATTTCCATTAATATTCTTTCATTAAAAAGTGACTAATTAATCAATCTTCTTTCAGTTTTTGGCCTTTTATCCAGAGTATCAATATTTTAACATTCCAGCACTGTTTTGTAAATTATTTACATTAAATAATCAGTCACGTTTTTTAACTTTCAAATATCAAAATAAACATCTAATCTTTTAAAACTAAGCTATAACATGATTTATTTTTTTGGACGCGTACATTGATAGTGATTATAGCATTTACATTCTTATTATTATAATAGTATAATTTTTCTTTTAACTAAATACATTTTTCAATATTAAAATAGTATGTTATATCAGAATTCAACCATAAGATTAAAAGCATGTTTGTTCGATATTTAATGATGACATCAACCAGCTAACCCGGCTTTTTGTCGACAGCGAAGCATTAATGCTCTGAGCATAAATTGTCTTCGTGATAACTGCCGAACGTGCTTCAAAAACACATCTAGATCTATGGAGCCTTGCCGAAGACCCTCTCCTAGATAATATATCGCATCTTCTGTTGCAGCCTCTTCAGCAAATGCATTCAACATTCTGGAAAATAAGCAAAAGTATTTTTATAAAAGTTTAAAATCAAATTTGCTTGAAAATACACTGAGGAAAAAAAATAGTAATCAATAAATGATTGAAACATACTGTTTATATAAAGGTGCGATAGTCGTAACTGCTTCATCAACATCAATAGACTGATTGTCTGAAAGTTTTTCTATTTCTTTCTCTAGCTCTCCTTCTTTATCCTGAAGAATAGTAATATTCTTCTCCAATTCTTGTTTTTCCTTTTGGAGTTTGCTAAACAATTCCTTGAGCTTTGTAGAACCATTTTGTAATTCTTGTTGTGTACGACGCAACGTTTCAAGCTCAGCTTGAAGTTGTGAAAATTGTTCACAAAGTCTTCGACGGAGTTGATCTCCTACTGCTGACAGTAATGATGCCCTTATGTGTTCTTCAGTTATAGTATCTGAATTACCACTATTTATTGCACCTGTCATTGGTGGTGACTAAAAACAACACATCAGTTGTAAATTAAAGATAATAAAAAATTAATCAATTTTAGTATAAAACATATATGCTATGTTATCGAATACTCACGGGCTGTGCAGGAGGATAAGGGGTTGGGAATGAATTAGGGTATCCACTAGGAGGAAAAGATGGCAATCCTCCTGCTGGTGGATACCTTGGATAACCACCGTAGCCTGTTGTTGGATATGGTGGGTATGGAGTACTGCTACTACCATATTGAGAATTTGTAGGATATGGAGGAAAAGATCCACCAGATGCATTAGATGCAGCTCCTGGCATCGGCATGAAAGCTGAAAAATTAACGTTGTACTATTTTATTTATTTCTAATAAATAATATCAACAAATTGAAACGAGATATAAATAGACTTTTCAACTTACACTGTATAGGATAAGGAGTTGATGTCTGAGTATCAATACGTCGTTTCGCGTATACTGGAGGTTTTTCTCCAAAAGTCACACACATGATTTGTATCAAGCTTAATAGATCAGAAGAATGCTGGAAAGAAATGTTTTTTTCTGTTATTATTAATCATCTTTTTTGATCAGACAGCATAATGAATCTTTTGAGAACATATCATGATTCATTTTGTCTCTGTGACCAAACTAAAACTTACAGGAACCCAGTCATGTAGATAAGGTAGATAAATCTTTCCATTGTGATCAACATACATGCTAACTTGAATAGTCATATCTGCTGTTGGCTTCACATAGCACATTGGAGCATTGTTGGGATGAGTATCCATTAACCATATGCATATTGGAATGTTATACACATTACCTGAAAGTATTTTATAATTATAATAAAGGATTATTTTATTTTATTTTTAATCAAACTTTCATTTATTATGAAACAAACCTTTATATTTCACTGGTATTGTTCCTTGTAGGTTGAATAGATTCTGGCAAGATCCATCATTAAATACTGCGAAGTAATTTTAGTAATAAATTTAAAAACTTTATTATTATTATTTAATAATTAAATAGAATTATATTATTACCAAAACTATCACTGGCGGGAAGTAAATTAGGGTATTCTTTCAAAACATTTCTTACTTCTCTCCATGATGCTTCTGGATTCTGGTACTATAAATATAAAAAATTATTTAATCATTATTCAATCATAACCTATCATTTAATAAGAGTTTATGATTAGTTATCAAATATTTAATACTATACCTTTACAAAGAATTGTTTTAGTTTTTCTTCAGTTATGGAACTCATTTTCACCATCTAATTTGAGGTTAAGTTGACAACTATAGGTTAAAAAGCACTACCTTAGGTGAAAAAATAAAAAAATAAAATAAAATTTAATTATACTGAGTCACCGAATGATTTTTATTATGATTAAATTCCAAAATACTTTGATCAGCATTTAATTCTCAAAGCTGATCTGAAAATGACGTTTCTTGGACAATGATCACAAGACTAATCACAAAAATATCAGCTGTACTCAACTCAACTGTCAATGAGCTGTGGCGCTATCTATATACAAAAATATAACCCTTGAAGGTCTAGAAAAAAAGCAAATAAAGGGTTTTAAATTAACATCCCGGATGTAAAAATTGATGTAATAAATTCAAAGTAATAACTGTGTTTATAACTCTTATCAATCAAGCATTGTGAATACTTTTTATGAGTGATTTAGAGTTTAGATTTTTTGGTCGCTAAATCATCCAAGAAAAACAAGATTTCTACATAAACATACACATAAAATGACAATATAACCTTAAAACTCGAATTTTTTACATTTTATTTTTTACAAAAAGACTATTTTAATCAATTTAAAATGGATATAAGTAGTGAAGAATGGTTTGTAGATTGCTCTGATGATGAAAAATATGAGAATGATCCCAAGGTTAGAATATACTTTTTTATCACTGTAAACAAATTATCATTCTATTGTTTATTATCGTTATTGCTGTTATTTAGGATGAATGGTCTCCCAAACCTGAAGATCTTATTAATTTAATTGATAGATTAGAATGTAATAAACAATGTCTAGAATTGGAGTGGAAATGTCCTGGACGGAGAGGACCTTCTCCTGTACTTCTTAATAATCATCAGCCAGATGATATACCAGAATACAAGTATGGTTATTTCTCCTTTGAAGAAAAAATTTTAATATCCATTCTATTATTGATGGGTTTTTTTAAGTTGCACGTTATTTCTACTCCAATCTCAGTAATTCGTCGAATATTATCAATTATAAGATATATCAATTATAATATCAGTATGAATAAAATATGTAAAAAGAAAATTATCTACAGTTCATTAATCAATGAGTTTATTATGATATATTTTTAATAATATATTTTATAAAAGCGCTATTATGTTGAGATTCATTGTAACAATTAAAATTATTTAAATGTTGTTATAGGACTGAAGAAAAAGATGATTTTGATTTTATGGATGAAATGGCTTCACCACGTTTGTTAGTAAGAAGACAAGGTGAAGCAACACCAAAGGGTAGTGCCAAGAAAAAGACTGCAAGTTTTAATGGTGTCTTATCAACAATGCTTCGTCATCGTCGTCAAGAGCAACAAGAAATCAATTCAACTCCAAAAAAGTCAGATCTTTCAAATGTCAAGTTACAACTTCCGTAATACAAACTCATCTATTTTTTATACTTAATTCAAAGACTTATACATATGCGTGATGTACAAATAAGAAATTTCTATAAATATTTTAGAAATTGAAAAAAAAATAAAATAATATATGCATACATTAAATTGGAGAATAGAATCTTATTGATCATGTGTGAAATAGATTTTTTTACTGCCAAAAACAATTTTGTTAAATCACTCTTTGTTTAAAATAATTTTTCTTTGATACAGCAAATGATCTTTTTAATGCAAAAATATTTTTGATTAATAAATAGATTATTAAATCAATAAACATTATAAAAAATAGTACTATTTGGATAAGGAAATGAGTACAAAAATTAAATTTCAATCAAATTGCTTACAAAAGCATGAATTAAATATAAAATATAATTAAGTAATAAATAATAATTGTGATGAATATATAATATTTAAAATAACTCAAAATTATTGTCAATTGATTATTTTATTTTCTCTTATAATAATTTAAAATGTACTTTACACCTATTATTAATAGCTGGTTGAGTAAATAAGTGATGCAGAAAGATGATAAAATGACTAGTAGGGCTTTTACCTCGACAATAAATAGTTGAAAGTTAAATAAAAAGTCTATGTAAAGTGTAGATATAGACATGAACATGAAAGTTCGAATTATGTCTAGTGAGTTGAGGGCAATACAATGCCCTAGCAAGTGGGGAGGTTAAGGGGAAGGTATTTGAACCCCTTCTGGTAAAAGCTCGTTGGAGACTTTGCTCTGAATTTTAGTCTGCATTGCGCATTCACAAGACAGGCGCAACGTGTATCGAGACATCGCGACTTGTCGTCGCAAGCCACGATCCTCGTTATTTCTCCCCCGGTTTGTTCAATAATATATCAAGAATCTTTAGTTCATATTTTTTCATTATACTTTTATTAACTGTTTGAATTAATTTTTATAAAACACTCTTTTATTTAACTTCCGGGTAATTATCGTTCATTACTCTCGCCGTGTTCTGGCTATTGATTTCATCAAACAATCGAGATAATTTGACTAATTTTCATTTAAACATTGCCAACGATTCAACTACATCAACTTGTTTTCTCAAGTAAGTATTTAAATATAAAAAAAAAAAAAAACGTTTAGAATTTGTTAATATTAATTATTATAAGAGAGTAATAATTAAATTTTTGATTTTAAATATGATAAAAAATTGTAATATCTTATTTTTAAAGATCAAAAAATTTTTTTAATCATTTTCAGCATAAAAAAAATATTATTCTGATCTAAATATTGGTGTAAAAAATATTTTTCAGATAAACACATTAAAATAATGTACAAGCGAACAAACATGGCAGGCATAGTCCTTATCTTTATATGGATGACAGTCCTTGCGTGCGGTCAAGGTATACATGAAATTATAAATTCAAATTTCCAACTATATTATGTATTCTTTTTCGATTTTTACAAATAAAGTAAAGAAATTAATTAACTTATGCTGACTAAATATTTAAGTAAATTTATAAAATAAATTAAGTATGTAAATTGATGTATTTATTGTTTTTTTCTTTTATTAAAGGGAGTAATGCCCGAGAATTACCTCCCAAGGAGACAGAGGTGCAGTCACTGATAACGCGCGCCTCCACGTGGTTATGGAAACAAAAAGATAAAGACGATGGATGGGGTAATAACACCCACTGGGTGTTGTTGGCACTTCGTTTGACTAATTTATCCTACAGTGATGATAATCCTTCGACAATATCTCTGGACTTCCAGCTGAGTAGCAAGCAAATGGAGCTGGAAATTGTGCTGTTGCTTTGGAGGTAGATGTTGAACCTTTATTATGCTATCATTAGATGATTTAATCAGTCATCAATAGTAGTTTATTATTCAATAACTTCTCATAGTTAAAAAATAAATATGAATTCACTTTAGTCATTGATCTTTTATAGCTATAAAAATAGCAGCATATTTTTTTTTAACTCTCAAAAACATATTGGACTAGATAAAATATATAATAAAATTAAAATAATTTAAATATAGAATGTAGACGTTAGTGTTTATTAAAACTAATTAATAACTATTGTGAATAATTAAAATAAAAGTTATTAATAATTTGCAGTAACATTAAAGCTCTTTTGGCAAACATTGAGTTCAATTTTTTTTTTAAAATAAAATATTAACAAGTTAAATTAATTGGTTTAATAATGTTTATAGTTGGCCAATATTTTATTCTATTCTAAAAAAAGCAATTTGCCAATTTTATTTTAATTGTAACTTCATTGAATGTTTCTTTTGTCTTAAAAAACGTTAAAAATATTTATACACTCTAGCAGAGAGTATGACAAGGTGCCAATTAGTAATCCATTAATGTTTTATTTAATCAAGTACTTGAAAGAGGGTTGTAATATTTTAAAAATGGTATTTAAATATTTAAAATCCATGAAGTACATTATTATGAAACTTTTGAAAGATTATCCTTTTATTTATCATCCTACTTGTTATTTATAATAAACAGTGGAACTCAAGATATTACATAACTATTATTGATCCTATATGTAATCCTGGCGCTAGTAATAGGGAATAGAATCACTAATTGGCGCAATAGTGGATGCTAGATATAAACTGAACGTATTGATCTGCTTACATAAATTTAATACGTATCCATAACATGAAATTCATGATAGTATTAAATATAATCATTAATAATGAACAATTCATTATCATTCATTTTTTAATTAGGCATAGAGAATTAGGATTTTCAGCAACCAATTTAGCACGATACACGCTTGCCCTGAATGCACTTTGTATGGATCCAAGACAATTTTATGGTCATGATCTGATAGGAACTCTTCAGCATCATGAACCACAAACGGACTATGATTTAGCTCTATCAAGTCTTGCGGCTTGTAGTGCGGAAGCTCATATCAGAAAAAGACAAATTAGAAGACTTTTAGACATTGCCAATGCTGGTCAATATCATAATATAGGTAATAGATAGCTATCTAGTTATTTGAAAGGATATACTTGATGATGAATAGGATAGAATTACATTTAAAAACAATTTCAGATACTATTTCTATGGTAATCCTTGCCTTAAGATGTATTGTCCAAGATCACAGACATCGGAATCTTCGCCATTTCGTTAGGAAACCATCAATAAGCCTGGCCAAACGCCAAAGACTTGATGGAAGTTTTGGAGATTTACGCATGACAGCATTAGCTATGCAGGCTCTTGAACAAGCTGAAAACGAATCTGCAAACAATTGGAATAAATCAGCAGCCTTGAAATGGCTGATTTCTTGTCAGCAAGGGGATGGTTCTTTTGAGAAAGACATTTACACGACAGCTCAAGTAGTTCTTGGTCTCAGTCCCAAGAGTCTCGCTGGAATACGAACTTTAAATTGCCGTGATGGTGACAATACTTCTCCGCATATCATTACAAATTATGGTAAGTGAAGAAGCGAGATATTATTACGATCTTACTTCAAGTTGTGCATAATATTTCGATTCTTCTCATTATGTAAGTTTCTTCGACACTATTTTTTTTTATTGCTAACATTGACAATGCTAAGATTAGTTCAAGCGAATGAGAAACTTTTATAAATGCAAAATAGGAAGCAAGTTAAAATTTTTCTTGATAAAAATAGTTTGGAATTACATTGATACAGTTTATGGAAGATATTTTTTAACATCTTTATTCTAATTTTATTGGTCAAGCTTCTTCCAATATGCAGAATAAATGCAAAATTATCTTAAAAATTTTAAAATACTATCCTTATATTGATACTATGCTAGACATTATCCTCGACTCTGATTTGAATATTGGAAAAGACTCTTTGTAAAGCATTGTTGCACATAAAATATTTTGCTATACAAGTTTTTAAAGCTTCACCATTCAGCTATAAAATGGAACGTAATTTATTCTAATAGTTGCTTTACTTTTACTCATAATTAATATTTTATTATCAATATGATACCCAGTGGATGAACTATTTGAAAAAAAATTTGATGCTTTACATGTTGTCAACAAAGTTGAATAACTAATTAACTAATTTAATTTTTAATGATTGATTTTTTTAGATAATTATGGTGAAAATTCAATTCCTTCAAGTACAATGATGAACGTAGAAATGAACATAAGCTCTATAACAACCTTATCATCATCATCAACGCCATCAACATTAACTAAATTAACAACAGTTTCAACAACAGTTACTACAACACCATCAAATCATTTTGTGAATGTTTCATACACTCTTTGGGTTGGAACTAATGAAAGTTACCATTTGATTGTAACGGCACCGAAAAAAATGACTTTCTATGGAGTCATGTTATTAGCAGCTGAAATGTCACCACATTTCCAATTCTCAGCATCTGAATGGCCTAATGGTCATTATGTTCATACTATCGCTGGATATAAGGAGGAACCGATGTCATATCATTATTGGTTACTATATAGGCTTAATACACCACCAGACTTATCTTCTCCACCAGGCAATCAACTCGTTGCCCCTGGAGGTAAGATAAATCCTTTTAAATATCCTATCTTTGTAACAAGCTATAATATCCACTTATTACTTCATTTAAAATTCGATAGAATCAAGTTTTTTATCCTTCCTTGTTCCTGAAAATAAAATAAAACCATTAGAATTAAAGAAAGTTGTTTTCGTAAAATATATTTATATTTTAAAATTTATTTTTAAGTTTTGTTTGTCGAAGATAAATTGATATGTGATAAAAATAAATTACAATTTAGTTTATAATTGATAGATGAACAATTTTTAAAACGTAAAGTAAAAATAAAAATCGAATACTTTTAGTATGAATATTTAGATTAATTATAATCTCTGAATCTAAAATATCAAAAATAACTGAAGCATATAAAAATAATGTAATCGATTAATTTTCAGGTGTGGATGACCTGGAAGTCAGTGAAGGAGAATACTACCTCTTCTGGTATAAAAAACTCTGAAGAGTATTAATCAATAATCATAAATGAATCATTTATCAAATGTAATAATAATAAAAAAAAAACACAAAACAAAAAATGCCATGCACTGTAGCATGCAATTTTTTTTTTAATTTGAACAACAGTTATAAAACTAGTAAAGTCATTTAATGATGAGCATTTAAGTATATTATACTTAACGTCGATTATTAAATACACGTACACATACGTTGTTATATTATTTATTAACAATGAATAAACAAAAAATTTTGTAATATGTATAAAACTCAAATGCACAACATCATATTGATATTGCATATACTTCATATAGATTATGTATATAATATCATTATCATATGATATCAATTATTTGGAGAACAAATAAATAAATAATCTAATTAATTAATGATTGTTATAGAAAAAAAAGCTTATTATAACAATGAATTAAAGTGAAAACAAGCGAGTTATTAAAGCTCTTGGTTAATTAATAAGTATGTACTAAAGAAATTTCTTGTTATTACTTATTACCTTGTGATTTATTCGCAACCGGTTAGAAATTAAATCTTTCTCTGCAGATAAGATAGCAGCTGGTTTTTATTATATTTAATTCTAACTACTGAATGTTATTAATAATAAAAAATTGTCACAAACTATAAGTTAGAAGTAAATAAAAAGAGATAATGATAATACTGATAATAATCTTCATCAAAGTAGTAAGAATCTCCTTAACGAGAAACCCCCAATTGAACAGATATAACTTGATTTTTTTTTGACGCACCTGCGTGTTACCGTGAGAAAGATAATTGTAGTTGGGTACGACTGATTAGCGTTAAAGATCACAAGCGGCTCAAGGCGAATTCGCTAGTAAGCGGCAGGGGTCCAATTTGCTCGAATTATGGCAGGTGAGTGCCAGAAATGCCTTCGGTTATTTTGCATCAAGCCTTTTGATTCGTTGAAATTTGCACGGAGGAGATGAATTTTTAATTCAATCAGTGATAAATTTAATGCCGTACATAATTGTTGTATTTTCTTTTTTTTTTTTTTTTTTTAATTAAAATTTTTATAAACTAATATGACAAATAAAGGTTTTACAAATGGTGATAAAATTACGATATGAATATAAAAAAAATCATTTTAATAAAATTGTTGATAAATAAAAAACTTTGTTGGATATTTAATAAATATAAATATTTATAATGGTTGAATAAACAAAATTAAAGAAGAAATATTTAACAAATAACATGTACTAAATGTTTTAAAATGTTTAATCTTACAATGTTAACTTTTTAACTAACAATAAGTAAGTACATTGAATATGAATTTTTTTTTTTTAATCATTTGCAACGATATTTTTATAGCCTTAAGTATTTTTTTAAATTTATTTATGTATTGAATAAATTGTAGACTTACTTGCTGTTTTATTTTTTTTTGTTATTAATATATGAATATCTATCGAGCAATAATTGTAACATTAATCAACTAATAATAATTAATTAATTAATTAATAATGATAATCATTTAATATCAATGATGTAGATAAATAAATATATCTAGATAACGTAAAAATAAATTTGTCTCAGCAAGGTAAATATTTTTTCGATTTTATTATATACAATAATATGGCGCTTTTTTAGGCATTTAGATTATTCCTCTGTTTGTCTATCAATTAAATACATACATAATATACATCGACATATAGAAGAATCGTCACTTTGTCAGCAAGTAAAGAAAACACTCATTTTTGTATTTTTATCTTTTATACGTCCAATCGTTTTTTTTTCTTATTTTTACCAAGGTCTCCACATTCCCTCTTCATCTTTAACCGGTTGCTGATGAGAAATCGTCGATGCTGACGAGGGAGGGATGATGGTAACCATTTCTTCAGGACAATCCACTGAATGAGTAGACGATCGTTCTCCAGCAAGTACATTATTTTGAATTTGCTGAGCATTAAGCTGTTCATTTTCATGAGATTTGAATCCTTTGATTTTTTTGGATGTTGTAAAGTCAAGTGGCTGTTCTGGTTGATCAATTCTTAGACTCTTTGTGGGTTTAGGGCCATCGGAGGTCCACTCGGATGGTGGAATATCTTGATGAGGTCGTTTGACAAGCTTATCAGTAGCTTTTAAAAGAGACATATTAGTAGCAGCCCAAATAGCTGTAGGTGGATTAGGTCCAATACTAATGCCATTAGCTGCAGCAGCGGCTGCCAGTTGAACATAATGGCTGGGAAGTAAAAAAACAACTTGGCCGTCGGGTAGTCTGGACGGTATTACTTGGACGACAGAAAGCATATTAGGATTCTGTCCAGAAGTTGATGCTTGATCTAATGGCAATCCACCTGGATGATGGGGATCTAAAGTCGCTGGATTAACCTGACTGAAAGCTGATGTTGGTCGACTGCTATTATTATTTTCATCTCCAGTTGTTGTACTGCTGTCTGGTCGCGTCATTGGCGTAGTTGCTTCCATGATATCCGGAATTTCAGATTTAATTAAGTTAGAATTGAGTGATGTACCGCTGCAATGCGGTATAGGTGTCGAGTGGTGATCAAGAGCACCTGGACTGGAAGCGCCGGGAACACGATCTGTTACACTACCCGGACTGCTTCCCAAACCACTGTCTGGCCGTGAACCAAGATCTAAATCTAATTCTGAGACACAACTGTCAAGATGACGTAGCAGCCGTTGCTTAACGGCTGGATCCATCGGTGTCGTATTGCCTGTTATTATATCTGGAGCATCCAGATAACGACTTACCTAGAAGACAAGTTATCTGGTTAATATTTTTCATTTATCCAATACACTGTGTGAAATAAAAACATTTTTCAGAAATATTTTCATTTCTCACCTCTCGAGAACAGTCTTGATAACCAGCTTTGTACCTTGAAAGACCAGGCTGTGCTAAGGTTCTCTGTCGTTGGAGGTGTCTTACAGTCAATTCTAGTATATCAGCTTTTTCAAGCTTGCTGTGCTTCGTATTTTCTAGTCTAGCGCTATCGAGAATTAGCGCCTTAAGCGCAGCCAGTGATTGATTTATTCTTGCACGTCTTCGCTTCTCCATCAGTGGTTTATTGGCCTGCAAACATATTGATGAATTAGTTTAAAAAACTCCAACTATTATTATGAAACACTTCTAAGAATATACATGCAACGGTGAAGTGAAATATATTAACATAAAAATAGTTAAATGTTTTTTTTTTCTTTCTTGTGCAATAAAATATAAATTATGATTCACATAAAATTTATACCTAGAATCTACTGATTGACAATGAAAGATATCTCACCGCCTACAAGTCTTATTTTATAAGAAATTTATGTAGATTTTAATGCGTAGAAAAGGGAAATGGAATCTAAACAAACACAGTATCTCGTATATACAATAAAAATAAAATGCAAATACACAGAACTAAAAAAACCCCAACACAGATGGCAGAAAAACAAGCGAAGAATAAGTGGAAAAAAAGGGTGTGAGTGCAAAATACGGCGCGTGGCCTGTGTCACGCGACGTTCAGTAGCTTTTTATATAGTTTCGAGGGAATATGACAGTTGCTGGCCTACGTGATTAGCACTAAGTATGAACGATAATCATTTGTGGTTGGCATATTCATATGAAGATCTGATATAAAGGTTCCATTTGATATCATCTGATGGTTATAATGCAATGATATGGTTCTGCACCATTTAAAATAAAAATGATTATTATACATGACCACTTCAGCTTTAGCAGAAATACATAATGAAACTCATTTAATATTGTTGCAATACAATCATTCATCAGCCTCTGATGATAATCAGGAAATAAATAAAGTTTTCAACTTCTTCAGTGTAAATGGTGGTGATGATTTTTACTCATCATTTATTATGATTTATTGATGATGACCATGTAATTGGAATATTAATAACAATAGTTACTTTACTGTTCTTATCATCAAACCAGTAATGCATCAACTAGCAATAAAAAAACAGATATGGTTGAATTTACTGCTTTTACGTAGGCTTTGTTTTACTGAAGTGAATAAATAATACTGAAGGTACCATTAATGAACATAATCGCAACCTCAATATTTGAACTAACAAAACAACAGTTGTTTTATTGGATAGCTCAAAAAAATGATAAAAAACAAAAGAAAAATAATAATAAATTTTTTTTTGTAATTAATAGTATATTTTATTTCCAGATGAATAGGAACCTATTATTTATACTTCCTAGGTACTTTTGAAGAACCAAAATATACTATTGGAGTAAAAAAAGCTCTAAAATTTAAAGAAGATAACTTGAACCCTACCAGTTGTTAAGCAAAAAATAAATGTAGTTTTTGATAACTATCACATTTCGAAATGAGTGAATGGCATTAATAAATGAAAAGCTAATTCTATCATCTCTAGGCATAACTAAGATGAAAGTTATCTTCTAGACATGCTTGAAAAACTTGCTAATAGTATGAAAAAAAGTTGTTAAACTTACTCGACGTCCGTCCGAGTGCTTAGGGTTTGGGCTAGGACTGGAGCTGGGGCTCGGGGCCGGGCTCGGGACTTGTGGTACGATCTGCTGATGCTGCGGCTGTTGGGTATGATGTCTGTGTCCACTGCCCGTGGATTTTTTCTCCTGATGCCTCAACGTGTGTAGACGCGCAGTCATTTTAGCAGGTCCTCGCGGACCTTGGACTCACTGAGTAACACTTTTGCACCGTTCGTGAAATTTTCGCGATTATGCTCAAGCCACTAAGCATCGCGTCCAATCCAAGTTTCAATAGTTACGATGAAAATTATTTTTTTAATGGTAAATAAGAATTCCAAAGTTCACTGTTTACTTTATATTTGTCTGATTGGTTTGTTCACTTTAGGTTGCTCTAGCATTCAACCATCAACAATCAATGTCTTAAACTTCATGTCTCCAAGAGAACTTGATGTTGAATATCTTATTATCAATCAGGCAATTATCGTTGGTTGAAGATAATTCCAGTTATAATAAACTTAATGTGGTATGCGCCACCACGTGGGTTGCCTACACGTGTCTTACGACCACTTGCTGTCACTTTCGTTGTAAAGCTCGTCACCAACTATTCACTCAATCCATAAATTTCACTTTTTATTTATTCATTCATTCATAGGTTGATTTTCTTCATCAACTTCTCCAGTGTTCACAATTGTTCTCTGATCAATTCAACCAACTCAATTGTTCACATTGTTTTTCTGTCACTCAACAACTTCCAGCCGAGGTATTGACTGTTTAATTACATGTATTTTCACTGAAATATATTGGTAAAACTATGATTCAAGTGTCCAGATGAATCATTCAAACTTTTGATCAATTATTTTCTTAATAATATCCAACGAATTGGAAATATTTTCAGTTTTTTTTTCGTTGAATGAAAATAGAGTTCTAGAAAGCTAAAGCACGAAACTTTTAGCAAGATAGTAAGAGAGATTATATAAGAAATAAGGATGATAGCATGAGCTTTTGATCAAGTATTCGCGTGACCAGTCAACAGACTGGTAGGAACTCGAATGATGATCAGCAAGGCAGCGAACGGCTTGCAACCGCGGCTTGTCGTTTCTGATATTGAAGGGGAAGAGCACACGAGAGTGCGATACGAGCCGTGTGACCAACACAACTACCACCGCCACACACAGTTTACTACTACTATGGACTACATAGAATGAATTCTGTGGTGAAGAGTAGGATGAAGAGAACGAAACAGCACATCGTCATCCAGACCATACCAAGTGAAAGAGGGGATGAAGCGGAGTCGAGGGGAGGAGTCGGCGCGCTACACTGCTGTTTAAGCACCAGAACAGAGAGGAAATTACTGAGCAAGGGCGATGGAGAATGAGCTAACGTTCATGTTGACGCGCGCCCTTGCCTGCGGCCACCACTCAGGCAATCTCACTGGCTACCTTACTCTCTACCTCTACTCCTCTATATCATGCTAACGTGACTGTCGTCTCTCTTTGTGCAAGCACACCAGTTCGACATGCAACTCAACATTGCTTAAATAACAATTCACCCTATATATAAAAAAAAAAAAAGCTTCAATTCACAGAGGAATCACCGAAATTGCTGGACAAGGGGGAAAAAGAGAAAATTGTCAACAAAACAAAAAAACCCGAAAGAAAATAAAAACAAAATTTTAATCCAACGGCGATCACATTGGCGTATAGAGTAAACTTGTGGTGGTGTAGACTATTCAGTTGCCTAGCACACGTGTGTGTGACGTTGGTTTTCATGTCGCACGTGTGCGAGTATGATAGGGAGAGAGATGGAGTGAGTGGAGGTAGCGGAGAGATGAAAGGATCTGTTGAGTGGGTTGAGAGGCCTGGTAGCGTATCGCGGTAGCTATGGGTGAGGGGATGAGGATAGTGACTATCGCGGCTGTCGGCACGCGCGCGGCCAAGTGCGCTTCACTTCTATCCCACTTTTTCGCTGGTATATAGCACACACTCTTGCTGCTGGAGATACGCTAGAGTATTGTATATAATATCCCAATATAAACGAGAGTTGGTAAAGTGGTGGTGATGGTGGAGGGGTTGCTGCTGCTGCTGTTCTTCTTCCTTTCTTCTTGTTCGGTTCTTTTGTTAGCTTTCTTCGTTCTCGTGCATCTCTGACCACTTCGTACGACCACGGCATTCTCCTCATATACATAAGCTTATATACTTTATAGTAGTTTTGAGCTCGTGTGAGTTAGTGGCGCTTCGTTTGAAATGTTGTATGTGTGTGTATATGTTGATGTGTCTCGACGGATCACTTTTCTCTTTTTCTACTCGTCGTTCTCGCCTGGGTGGGTATTAGGTTGGACGATCGTGCGTGCGGCGACCCTCCAACTAGTCTCGTTGAGTGTAACGAGCAGAATTCTAGAGTTGCCACGCTACGTTGAGGAGTCAAGGGAGGAGAATTTGCTTGATCTGTGCTTGGATATTTTTAGAGGCTTTTATTGCTATTTCTTCTTTTGTTATTATTATCATTGTTATGAAGTGTATGGTGCTATAAAAATTTTTTGAATATTTTATATGATTATTGAAATGATAGGAATGTTGGTTTATCAGAGATTGAAAATTTTTATATCAATAAAATATTTTTGTTAATACTTCTGTCATTATTATTAACCTTTTGGAGTCCAAGATCTTAAAAAAATAAATTATGCTGATCATGAGATAAGTTTAGGCATATAAGAAAACTCGTATATTTCGAAATTTAATAATATTTAAATTATCAAATATTAATAATCATTTGTAATTATTAACTAATTATTGTTACTATTATTAAATTGTCGCTATTATTGTTAATTATTATTGTTGTTATTTTTTAATTATTGTACCATTATTGTTGGAAGATTACTGTTTGTTTTTTAGTTATTTTATAAACAAAATGTTTTCAATATTCTAATGTGGTTTTTTAATAAATCAAATATGCAATATATTTAATGTATTATTATAATTAAAAGAAATGCAAAACATGTAAAAAATTATTTAATAAATAAACATTATTTTTGATATAAATTATTGGATCTTCTAATGTGTTAAAATAATATTTATGTATTAAATAAAAAATAATCAATTATAGAAATGAATTCGTATTTTAAATATCACATTAAATTATACAATAAATTAATGAATAGTTGGTTTTCTAAATGTATTATTATTTTTTCTTATCAAGTAATGATATGATATGTACTTGATACTTGATAAGTAATTTTATTACTTTTTTTCCTGAAAATCAACCATCAGGTAATTCTATGAAATGATTCATGAGTTTTTCTCTAATATTATTAAAAAATCATTACCAGTTTTTGTTTTTCACCAATATTATTTTCAATATAATTTCTAAATTTATTTATAACTGAACTGACATAAGACTAAATTAATTCTCAAGATAAAATTGTTATTATAATAAATGATTTACATAAATGATTATTTTTCTTTCATTCTTATAGAAACTATATTACTATTTCTGTCGTGATTTTTGTAGATCCGGCAAGAAGTACATACGTGAATATGTGCATGGACATGCTTCGAATTCTACGTACAGACAGATACATATTCTATATCTACGTGAAGTTTTCTTCCTTGCAGCTACCACTGTAACATCACACTCGAATCGGAACAAGTCTTGATGCCACATTCTTTCGAGAGTTCCGCATAACTTTACGATTTTTTTTTTTTTTTTTTTTTTTTTATAAAATTTTCTTTTTGCTACATACCTAACCCATTTTTTCAAATTCCAAAACATATTTATTCTACAATATATATAAATATACATACAATCGTTTCTTTTTGAAATTCATATTTTTCGAAAAAAATTTTTTATAACTCCACTTTGAAGTTATTAATCATACATGCTGACAATCAGCTTTTATTTAAACAATAAAAAATATTGCATACATTTCTACAATGTAAAGAGAGTAAAGAATACACAAGTACACTTGTGACTAAAAAATAGCAATTAAAATGGAAGGAATTTTTTATTTATTAAATCTTATTTAGAATAAACTAGACAATATATTTTACCAATAAATTATAATAATTATTAATTATAAATTAGCAATATAATTGATAGATTGTTTAAAATTTCTATAAAATATCCATTAACATTTCAATTAAAAATAATTGACGTTATTTAATTTATTGCAAATTTATTATTTCAAAGTTATGAAAAAACAGTTGTCATTATAAATAATAGCAAATTTTAATTTTCAATTTAATAAATAAAAAATATGTTAATAATATTTCCTTCAGCTATTTTTAGTGCAAAACTATAACGTAAGACGATCTTTTTTTTTTTATCCATAAAAAGAAACTCCATACTATAAGTACACTAACGAAAGAAGCTGATTCCTATTGACATTTAGAAACAGAAGTAAAATAAAAATCAGCTCGACAGTATTATGCGCTTGTTATGAGCAACCCCTCAAAGTATCTTGGACGTATCTAAACAATCCTCATTTAATGCAACAATTTTTTTGATTTGTATAAAAACAGAAGCGACGGGAGCTAAAGTTGGCAGAAGAAGAGTATTTATATGGAGTGATCAAGAAACAGAAGGGCGTGACGGTATACCTATATCAAGTATCCTAGGATATATTGGCTAGGGGGAGTGTATAATGACATTGATAAAGGATAGAAAAAAAAGAGGAACGAGCATAAACCAAAGTGAGAGAATAAAGGACAAAAAGTGAAGAGGGAAGAAAAGAATAATATAAGTGAAGTTAGTTTGGTGACTCCCACATCTTTAATAGCGTTCGCGTGATGCATTTACCAAGTTTCAATGCGTTGGTAGTATACAGAAATCGACGTACAACGAGAGAGAAAATGCATAAAATCCCAGTAGATCTATTGTACGTATCGTTTATATGCATGTTTGCATCACTTGTATATATGTACAAAGAACTATTCTATATACACCAGAATTTTTTATCATTTTTTAGAAAACATTTTAATCTATTTTTACTATGAATTTACAGATGAAAAATAGATTTTTTTGAATTTTTATCAAAAATTTGTTCATAAAAACAAGTAAACTAAACTTTAAGAGAACATTTTTTTTAAATATTTCTATTGTCTATTATTTAAAATATTCACTGTTTGGTGTAATAAAAATTAATCTAGTCAATATACTTTAAAAAAAGACAAAAATTCGAAGTTGTTTTTTAATATTTATCGTAAGACTTCAGTAAGTATTTGTGCTTTTTTGTTTATAAATAAAATTGCTCTTGTTTTAAACAAACAATAATAATCATTATTAATTAATTATTAATTTCAACATTGACTCTTATAACTGTAAATTTATTAATATTTATTATTATTATTCTATATTAATTTCCATTAATTTTATTAAAATATCATTATTTATATAAAAGTTACTTCAACTCATATTGACACTAACAAAAAAAAAAAAATTATTTATTAATTTGCAGTTATAAAACCATCAATATTTAAATTAATACTATTATTATCACTCCAACCAATAAATATTCACTGATTTATTTTTCCAGAGTAATTAAAGAAAAAATTTCCAAGTATATTAGACATCTATTGCCATAAATAACAACATGTAGACAATTTTTGAATTTTTTTGTTGTTCAAAAGCATTAAAATTTATAGTAAAAATATTATTAACACATTCTACAATAAATAACCAACTTACTTCTATCGATCTGCAAACATAAATTCCAATGATAAAACGCAACTCGTTCCATCGATTTTCAACAAAAAGACTTTTCTAAAAAATTAAAAAAAAAAAAAAATCTCCAACTAAAATTGTGTTTTAATATTTCCTCCATGCACATATATATATATATATATATATATATATATAAACGTGTATATATCGTTTGTGATTGTAAGTGTATTGTTAAAATGTGTATACGTATTGTATATAATAGATGTGTATATATACGTAAAGCAAGTTAGTTGGGGCGCAGTTGCCTCGGGGGCTGGATTACATGACGCGTGTAGAGTGAGTGGCAAAGTGAAGCACCTCCAGTATATGTGTACGTGTGGTGCGAGATCCCGCGATAACGAGCAGCACGCACGTTCACACGAGTGGAGGTGCCACGCGTGTTCGTTCTATACATCCCACTTTATCTAGATTAAATAGAGCTATATAACACGTGGCAAACTGTCTATATATACATACATACATATACATGGATTTCCTACATGCTTCTGGGTAATTCAAGCCTACGCT